CTTAATCAAACCAAGTCAGAGCAAAAAGACAATGACCCTGGTCCACAGGATCAGGAACAATTTTTTTTTAAATGCGCACTCACCCCTATTTAGCATTCTGAAGTTTGGGCTTGAATCCATATATGTTAAAAATTACACAAAGTTTTCAAGTAAGAAGCATGGTGAACCATGTTACATGCCTTCCTCTAACACAGTGGTTCTCAACCTTCTGGCCCTTTAAATACAGTTCCTCATGTTGTGACCCAACCAAAAAATTATTTTCGTGGCTACTTCAAAACTGTAATGTTGCTACTGTTATGAATTGTAATGTAAATATCTGATATGCAGGATGGTCTTAGGCGGCCCCTGTGAAAGGGTCATTCGACTGCCAAAGGGGTCGCGACCCACAGGTTGAGAACCACTGCTCTAACGGGACCGTGGTCACCAGCTCTATTCTAATTATTCACGTGCAGACTGTGCCCTTCAGACGCACAGCTGTATAGTCTCTGACATTTCTGAGTGTCTTCAGGGACTATCCTGATGGAAGAGATGCAGGGTTTCCATTCCCATGAATAACAAAGCGATGAGCACAAGCTCTGAGCCAGGGCAGGGTCCGTGTTTAATTTTGTTAATGCGTATGTGTGAGACCAATATCTTAGCTCACGGGCATGCAGACATTCAAAAACAGTGAAGTACCGAAAGCAGTAATGTCTGACATAGAAAACATATTAAATACATGCTTCCAGTCAAAACAAACGAAGACCAGTGAAGGCTTGTCGGTGAAAGTGCGTCTCATTAACTCCCTCCACGTGAGGAAGAACAGCACTGCCGTGGGTAATGAGCACTAGAAACACCTGGAGACCTCTGAGCCACTGCGCACCGGACAGATATGCATTCTTCCTGCTTCACTCCATACGCCCGTGTTCACACTCCTACAAACTGAAGAATGGTGTCTTTGGCTTTTTGATGTGTTGTATCTACTGCCCAGCTTTTATACTTTCAATGCGGTGCAGCAGGCGAAGTACAATATACACACGCGATGAAGCTCCCTGTTAAGGATTCTGATTATTATTGTTGGGATCCTCTTCTCTTTCCGCCTCTTGAGTAAGCGCCAGTTTCAACTTGGGCTGAGGTTTCCAAAGCCATTATCCTGAGCATAAGAAGATAACCAGCCAACAGAAACCAATGGCAAGTCCTCCTTTCTTTCCTTTTCAGACAAACAAAACAGCAAGTGAGGACACTGCTCAGTGCAGAAGGCGCTTTGCAGAGGCCTTCCTGGCACCACGTAAATGTGGCCCCAGCACAACGATGCCCTATTACCTCACCAAGGCCCTAATCCTCCAAAGAAAAGGAAGTGTTGGCTTAAAGCACTGTCAAGGTCACATAGAAAAGTAGAGAGGGAGCCCCATCTGCCTACGGAGCACACAATGGGATTCGTCATCGCTCTCTCAGGCCTCCTCAACTGGGACAATGGCTGAAGCCAGCCTGCATCCGACCAAGAATGGTATGTGGGTCTCTAAAAGGGCACCCTATCCTTTATACAGCGCCCAACCAAGAATTCTTAGAGGTATTTCGAAATACTTAACCTGTGTTCAGGTAAAGAGAGAGTAAAATGATAATTAGCAGTTTTAAGCCCTAATAATTAAAATTGTCAAAGAACTGAAGTTTTAAGGAAGGCAAATCAGAACAAAGTCAGCCATATCTAGAACTGAGTCCACAATGCAACTTATGGCTATGCCTAGGAATATCATAATTCACTGCTAACATTTTTTAAAATCTCTTTTGTCTTTAGCACAATAAAACTTTGAAGAATTACAAAATTTTAAATAATGGGAAAGAAATTGAAAGTTCATTCCATTTTTCTCTTCTTCCCTGATCCTCACCCAAGGATATGTTTCCTACTGATTTTTTTTAGAGAAAGGGTAAGGAAGAGAGAGAGAGAAAGAAACATCAATGTATGAGAAAAACATCAATTGGTTGCCTCCCATATTAGCCCCCACAGCGATCAAACCCACAACCCAGGTATGTGCCCTGACCAGGAACTGAACTGGCACCCTTCCAATGCATGGGATGACCCTCCAACCAACTAAGCCACAAAGGCACATTAATTTTTAAATAACTTTTTAAATTATAAAACTAATACATTCTCATTACAAAAAAAAATCTCAGAAAATATATACAGGCCTAATGAAGAAAATAAATTAAGTATATGTGTTGGGGGAGAGCCTCGAAAGCCTAAATTCAGGATCAATTCCAAAGAACTGACATGTAGCCTTATTCAAATTCATAAGGACTTTAATAGGAGAAACTTACATACACGGGGACAGCAGTGTATGGTGGGCAGGGAAGAATCCACACCCCACCCAGGACAGGGTCTCTCTTCATAGGTGGTTAACTGTAAAACCACATGGTGGGCAGCCACACAGACCACCGGAAAGAACAGCGCATCCCTAATTAACAGGGAGCACCAGGCAGTTAGCACACTCCACACATCTACTAGCGTCCTTCCTGGGCCTGCTGTGCGTCTTTGGGTGGCAGTCTGGCTTTCCCGGGAGTCAGCCAAGCCCCAGGTTACAGAGAGGCAAACAGTGACAGAGTTAAGTAGTCACAGAGAGTTCATCATTTCCCAGGCGCCTTTGCTGCTCGAGCCATATTGCATCTCTACAGTGAGTTCCCCTACAACATCTATGATCACTTCACTCAAAAAGGTAAGTCCCAGTATATGTTGGTGGTTCCTTCCAGCCTTTGCCCAGGCATAGGCATTTCCTCTCATTCTGTGATAAGAAAAAAGCCCCAATATATAAACTTATAAACCCAAAACTCTCACCACTGTAAAACAAATTCAAAAACTAACTTCAGAGAGTAACCAACGTACAAATCACTAATAAGTGCAATAATGCTCAGCCAGCTTCTATCCCTCATATTTGCTGACTGGTCCAGCCACAGAGAAGCCACTTCCTAACTCAGAGAAGACTTTTCCCTGCATGTCAGTCTTTCCATATTGAAAAGGATTCAGTAGCTGTTCACTTTCTGATTCTAATCAAAAAGTGCATAAGATGCACATTAAGGAATTTAGAGGGAACTCTAAAAAAATTAATAAACCTGATCTTTAGAAACTTCCTTACCAAGTGAAAGCAGATTTAAAATATCTACTAATTATTCCTCTGTTGCAGTCAATCCCCATCAGATTTGTCCCAGATATTCTAAAGGTATATGGTGTCAACCAGGGGTCAGCAAACATTTTCTGAAAGTAAATAAAGCAAACATTTTCTATACGTTAGCAGTAAATATTCTGGGCTGTATGACCATCCAGTCCCTGTCCCACTACTCAGCTCTGCTCAGCTTTCCCTTGCGCCATAAAAGCAGCCATTCACAACATAATATATAAACAAATGGCTATGTCTGTGTTCCAATAAAACTTTATCTACGAAAATGAGATTTTTTTTTGGAGACAGATGATGGTGATGGCACAACAATGTGAATGTACTTAATGCACTCAGCTGTACACTTAAAATAGTAAATGTTGTTATGTACATTTTACCACAATTAAAAACAAAAAACACAAGACTTGACCCACACGGTGTTCTTTTCCAGCTGGTACACAAAATTCCTCCTGCTTAAAATCATCTGTGATTTTAGACTCCCCTGAAACTAAAAGCTTCCCAAACCTGGTGCATGAATACTTATAAAGATACAACTGCTCTTCTACCAAACCTTTCTTTAAATATCCTAGGATATTTAAAAGTGTTTATAGCCCTGGCTGGTTTGGCTCTGTGGCTAGAGCGTTGGCCTGTGAACTGAAGGGTCCCAGGTTCGATTCTTGTCAAGGTCACATGCCTGGGCTGCGGGCTCGATCCCCAGTAGGGGATGTGCAGGAGGCAGCCGATCAATGATTCTCTCTCATCATTGGTGTTTCTATCTCTCTCCCTCCCTCTCCCTTCTTCTCTGAAATCAATAACAATATATTTTTTTAAAAGTGTTTTTAGTCCTGGCCAGCTGCCCAATGGTTAGAGCGTCAGCCTGCACACCAGAGTGTTGCGGGTTCAATTCCCAGTAAAGGGCGCGTACCTGGGTTGCAGATTCAATCCCTGCCCTAGTTGGGGTGTGTGCAGGAGGCAACCCATCAATGTGTCTCTCTCATATCAATGTTTCTCTCCCTCTCTCTCTGTCTCTTTACACCTTCCACTCTCTCTAAAAATCAATGAAAAAAATCCCCACTCCTCAGGTGAGGATAAAAAAGGGGGGAGGGTTTAATTCTAATGATATAAGCAAGCTAAAGTGCTGTCAGCAGTTTTTCTCTGTCCTTAACGCAGGTTGGAGACCAGATGTTTAGAACCGCACAGCCTATAGCAGTGAGCAGGCTGCCCTGGGGGAAGGGCCTTGAGTAATTAAAAGCGCACAAATATAACCTACTTGACCAGCTGCCTACCTTTTAAAAAAACTTATACATTAAATGAAATACAACAGGAAAGATGCCATCTGACTCCTGTCAGAGATCTGACTTTAAATGCTTTATTTATAAAGCACAAACGTCCAAGGCACCATGTAACTGTGGACTCCCCATTTTATTTCTAGCTGTTTTCCTTCAAAACCTACATTAACAGTTGTGTGTGTGGTGGTTTTCTTCTTCAGATTTGTAGCTATTTTCAATAAGATCTATTATTACTTAACACCTACATTTTGCTTAGCTTTAGGTCTACCCATGTACTCAGCCTCAAAAGAAAAGCTTTGGGGGGATTCTGAGTTTTGTTTTGCCTTCAGCTTTCACTGTGGCCCTGGAAGAGCCAACTGGATTCTTTCGGGCGCAGTCAGGGCTCGCTCTGCACCCCACACCGTGATTAACTTCTTATTCACCTGGTACCTTCCCATTCAGCCTCTGAACGTTCCTTTCAGCTTCCAACAAAGGATCTCATCGCTTCAGGAATTGGGGTGTGTCTAAGTTTTCACCTGGGAGAAAAGTGATTCAAGCGTTTCTGGTGAGACCAATCCTAGGGTTGGGGTGGGGAGGGACCGCATAACAGGCCGCCGCGGACTCCTGGAGAGGCACAGACTCTGCGGGCGGAAGGACTGAAGCACACTCCGGGATCTGCTCGCCTGGGGACTCCACACGATGGCTTGGCTCCTCCTCAGAACCACGGGGACTCTCGCCATTTTCATGGTAAGTCCTCCTTTTCCTTCCAATAATCGTAGCTTTCCGTGTTTCTTTCTCTCCTCTAAGGGAGTATCATATTTGATTGCTGAATCCCTATTACAAAGTCTAAGAAGGCACAGTGGAAACAGTTTAAAATGAAACTGCAAATCTCTTTTATAAAATCTAAAAGAGTGCAGTCGAAACAACATTTTAATATGCAATTGTAATGATTCCTCATTTCTCCCATTTGCTGTGGGGTTGTTTTTCTTTTCATATATTTTACATAGAAAACTAAATGAGGGAAAAATGAATTTGAAAGTCGCCATTTAGCATTTCTTTAGTTAATGAATCAAATAACCCTGATCTCAGATGTATTTTCCACAACACCGTCACTTTCTTCAAAGTCATGTTTTTATTCGTCTTTTTGATGTACAAGCTAAAACACCTTAAAGAGAAGCAGGTCTGTTTCCCAAGGTTACGTATCTGTTGAGCATATGGCTCTGAATCACTCATGCCCGGTCTTGCTACCTGACATGTTTCTGCAATAGCCAAGGACCGTTGAATTAAAATCAAAGCAGCATTTGACTGGAGAGCAGCTGAGAGGGTTATTAAGAACACAGAGTGTCTGCTTAGTCATTCTGTGCAGAACACATCCAGCATTTGGTGGAAAACACATGGACATTTTATCAGACCCTCCCAGAGAGTGACACTCTACTGGGTGGGACTCTTTCTGACTAAAAGAGAAGTGGAATCTGCAGAGCAAAGCACTGGCCTGGATGATACAGACCAGCTTGTTCCTAACGGCGCTATTCTAGTCAAGAAAAAGTCACAATATTCTCAGTCCCATGAAGATAGCAAAATAGTGAAATATACCACACGTGAACATTTTTAAAATTCCTAATGCTAATTCCCCACCTTATCGATAATAAACTGGGCTAGTCCAGGCATCAGTTGTGCTTGCCTCTTCGTCTGTAACATTGAGATCATTGGACTTTAAGAAGTGACAGGGAGATAGATCTCAAGGAGGAACTTTCTAAACTGTAAATGTGTCCAAAATTAGAACAGTTGCATTATGAGCCAGGGAGATTCCCAGCCTTCGCTCTCATGAGGCTGCTCTGGAAAACTGGCATATTTTTGTTAGAGTCGTTTCTATTATGACAAAGTAGCTACAGTTGACCCTTGAACAACATGGTAATGGATTAGGGGGACATTGACCCCAATGCAGTAAAAAATCTTAGTATAACTTTTTACTCCCCCCTACCAATAATATAAACAGTCAATTAACACTTATTTCATATATATATATATATTACACCATATTTTTATAATAAAGTAAACTAGAGAAAAGAAAATTAAGAAAATCATAAGGAAGAGAAAATACATTTACAGTATTTATGAAAAAAATTCCCATGCTATTCAAGGGTGAACTATAATTGTTTTGGTTATTTAATGTATTTATTTGACCTAAGAATATTATAGAGAAACTAGAGACCCGGTGCACGAAATTTGTGTGGGGGGTGGGGTGTCCCTCAGCCCAGCCTGCACTCTCTCGCAATGCACTCTCTTGCAATCCAGGACCCCTCAGGGGATGTCCAACTGCTAGTTTAGGCCCGATCCCACAGGTATCGGCAGTTGGACATCCTTCTCGCAATCTGGGACCACTGGCTCCTAACCCACTCACCTGCCTGATCATCCCTAACCACTCTGCCTGCCTATCTGATCACCCTTAACTCCTCTGCCTGCCTGCCTAATCGCCCCTAACCACTCACCTGCCTGCCTGATCACCCCTAACTGTCTCTGCCTTGGCCCCCTCTGCCGAGGCTTTGTCCAGAAGGACATCCAGAATAACGTCCAGAAGGTAGTTTGTCTGTTGGGTCTAATTAGCATATTACACTTTTATTATTATAGATGTGACAGTTGTATGACTTCTCACCTTTCAGAAGGTCATTTCTAGACTAAACCACAGGTGGCCTAATAACCCACTCGGGAATGGGTGACCAACTCAGGAAGCTAGGAGATAAGAGGAGCATGAGTCAGAATAGTGTTGTCATAAGGACACAGAATTGGACCCCCACAAGCTTAGAGAGCTCTTACCTGCTTTGAGGTATATCCTCCATGATCCCTCTGTTACTTGAGTTACTGTGAGATCCTCATACTGAGGGCTGTTTCATTCATTTTTTTATCTCCAATGTCTACCCATATCTGTCTTACAGTGGACACTCAATTGTTTGAAGAATGGATAAATGAATAACTGAATAAGGCCTCTCTAAACTATAACTTCACACACACACACACACGTACACATACACACGTACACATACACACACGCATGGCCTCTAAAATGCACTATGAAATGTTAAAACATTTCTCTCCCCTCAAGAAAATGTTACACACCTCCACACACAAGCTATTTAAACAGCAATATAACTTTATACATAATTGTTAAGCTGAGTGGTCTAGAACTGCTCTGTCCAAATGGTAGCCTCTAGCCACATGTGGCTACTAATCACTTGAAATGAGAGATTGGTCGAATTGAGATGTTAGGTGTAAAATATGCATCATATTTTAAGGATTTAGTATGAAAAAGGAATGGAAAACATGTCATTAATAATGCTTACATTGCTTACATATTGACATGGTAGTATTTTGGATATTTTAGATAAGACGTATGTTAAAATTAATTTTACCTTTTTAAATCCTCTTTAATATAACTATTAGAACATTTGAAATTATTCGTGGGGTTCTCATTACACTTTCCCTGGACAATGCTGGTAACTGATGCTATTAGTGGAAGGCAGTGTCAGTCAGGAGTGAGGCAGGCAAACGAGGCCCCAGGGACCAGGTAAGGTTTCACAGGTGGACCAAGGGAGGGGCTCTTCCCTGTCAAACCAACATGAGCAAAGGCAGACGCAATATGACATGTGCCTGGGGACAATGGACACACTGGTTTGGCCGGAATGACAGTTTGCACTGGGGAGCCTGGACATGAGTTGGCAAAGCAGATGAGGGTCATATTGAAAAGTATGTTCTGTGAAAGCTAGTGGAATCCTTTCAGAAGTGGGGCACCACCCAGTTTCGAAACAGTGTGGTGATGGGAAAAGCAGTGTTTTTCCAAGCACTGTCTAGTGGGGACGCACATCTTTTGTTGTGGAGGGTGGGTCTGAAAGTCGGAAAACATGTTTGAGGCTCTGCACTAATTCCGCCGTCCTATGACCACACCAGGGCTGCCTAGAGAGGCGAGACAGAACAGCAAAGTCACAGCCCTGTCTACGCCTGCTCTGCTGACTCACTCCAGCCCTTGTTTCCTCCGCCGTCAAGTAAAAGGATCAGAGCCCCTGCCTACCCCTACAGCGGCAGAGTGAGAGTAAACAGCGCAAGGAAGTGCTCGGAAAACGCCAGTGCTTTCTAAGACGGCATCCTACCAGCTGCAATACCTTCAGTAATTAAGATGGCTCTTGATAACGCCTGCCTTAATATTCTGCCTTACTATTTAGCAGTTTCCTGTGCTTATTTGATCCGTTTTGCACAATACAAAATATGCATTTTGGGGAAAGGCTTTATGATTGAAAAATGCTTTTCTTCAGAGATTTAACTTTTTGAAAACGTTTGTCTTCAAGGTGCGCATTGCTCAGTGTTTGATAGTCCACAAAACGTAACACTCCTGTTACCATCTGGACAATGAGTGTTTTAACTTTACGTTTCTATATTATGTAAAGTTTACTCATCACAAAACTAATAGAGATGTCTGAAGTGCAAATATTTCCAGAACACAGTGTTTAAGTTAGTAGAGGTAGGGCTGGAAAAAAGCGAGAGAAGTCCTTTAAATATCAAGTTCTGAGAGAATGCGGTCCAAATACAGAGAAATGACCTCCAATCACCTTCTTCTACAGAATATCCAAAGAGTAAAATTTTAGGAAAAAATTGTAGGCTAAATGGTCCAAATCTTTAACGGAAGGAAAATCTTTGAGGGATCTCTTCTTCTCGTGACTGATGAAACAATCTGATTTCCAATGCTAATAGACGTATGAAAATTAGTTGCCCCCTGGTCCTCTCTTCCGGTTAAGAGCCAAAATCAGAATAATCTTGCCAGGCAATCCTGGCAACCACGCCCGACTTGAGCGGAAGGCAGGAGAGATGCAATTACTTCTGTCAGTCACCACCCCGCTTACCTAACCCCTGAAACTGCTTTCCTTTGGAACCGAACACTCAGTTCCCAGCAGGCTGCTCCTCACCTCCAGCCTCTCGCTCTTCCTCGCCAGTCAGGAGTCACCCTGATGGCCAGGTGAGGGCTTGCTGTGCGAAGTTCATTACAAGAGAAGTACAGGGTGTCCCCAGGAATGTATGCATTTTACCAGCTGACAGCTTGAAAATGAAGTGCATTTTACTAAACACTGCCTTTATAGTTATTGGAAGTGTGTGTATACCCTTTGGGGGGACACCCTATGTACAGGTACTTGGTGACTAGCTCTAAGAACACTGTGAATAACTGAATTTGTCTAAGGTGCCCAGCTGTCTCACATGTGCAGCTGGCCAGGCTGTGCCAGGCACAGTTCCAGGAGGTGCATTCGCCTCAACTCCAGTGTCAACAGTCCCCCTGGAATTGGGCAAGGAATGAGCTACACAACTGGACAAAGGAGAACTGGTTCTTGTCGCTTTCCAATGTTCAGAAAAGGGAAAGTTCTATGTGCCTTGGTGTGGACAGTCATAATCAGAGGGCACTCACTTCATGTCCAAGGGGCTCTCTTATACCTTTTTTTTTTTAAGTTTGGGGACAGAAGTTATTAACATGTATTAAACACATAAGTCCTAGTGGTCTAGGGCTCATCTATGTGCTTTACGCCTATGAATTCACTGAATCCTCACAAGAAACCTACAAAGTAAGTAGAAATGTTGTCCCTATTTTACAGATGAGGAAACTGAAAAATTAAGTAATGTTTCCAAGTTATACAACTGGTCCATTGAGACTGGGATTTAACTCAGGGATTCAGGATCCAGGGTCCAATCTTTTTATTACTATACTTGACTGCAACTTATGCAGCATTTAAAATGAGCATCTGAGAATATCCACGGTATTTGTTTTAATTAGCATCGCTATCACAATACAAGGTTTAACTTTCTAAATTAATTGAGTGTACTCTAAAACTCAGTTACTGAAATTTAATTGTCTGAAATTAAATAAAAATTTCTAAGGAAATAAACATGCCATTTTTGTTCAAGTAAGAAATTTAACTTGATGAATACAAAGTTTATTAGAACTTTTAAGGGGGGGTTAAATTTCAATTTTAAAAAGGATAAATAGATAGATAGGAGATGATGAAAGATAAATCACTCATGTCTTCTGAATTGTACATAATGTAATTTATTCATCAAACATTACTGATGACCTCTATGGCCTGACACATTAATAATCACTGCATATGACCAATTATAGAAATGAGATTACCAACACATATATATATATATATATATATGTGTGTGTGTGTGTGTGTGTATATATATATATATATATATAATGACTTTTTTCCCACAAATAATTAAATACAAAACATGTTTAAAAATTGAAATGATTTCTTTGAATTACCTAATTCATCTTCAAATTTCCCAGAGGGGAGTGGATGAGGCCCTTTCTTAAACCCATTCTAGAGATGAGAAGGGTTGCTATACCCCAGGCCAGCTGGGAGCAGCTGAATCTAATGCATAGTCCAACTGTCTATCCCTCCCACATGAAAGCTTGAAGTAACTCCAAATAAAATGATAGCCAAACAAGTAAAGTAGCAGTTGTTATTAAAATATCCTCAAAATGTATTTATTGTGTATCTACCATATACAGTACAAACCTTTATGATCCTATATAATAAAAGCCTAATATGCTAAGTGTCCAGTTGTCTGGTCAGCCATTCAACCAATCAAAGCGTAATATGCTAATGATATGCTAAGGCCACTCAACCACTCACTATGATGTGCACTGACCACCAGGGGGCAGATGCTCCGACCAGTAGGTTAGCTTGCTACTGGGGTCCGGCCAATTGGGACTGAGCTAGATGGGCCAGACATGTCCTGGAGCCCTCCCGTGGTCCCTCCCCAGCTGGCCAACCTCCCGCATCCCTCCCCAACCCTGATTGAACTCTCAAGACAAGAAATGCTTTCTCCACACTGATATGTCCAGTCCAGGTCACCAAAAGAGACAACTTAGTTGGTTTATATTGTCAGGAAACTACTGAAATATTATTAAATGTTGAAAATAATTAGATTAGCAAATTCACTCAAATAATCAAGTAGCCACAGAGATGTATTAACTAAAATAATTGTTTTTAAAAACACAATTCTAGATAATGTAAGGCTACAATTATATTTCCAAATGTCTAATGAGCATTTTCAAAATTTAGAAGTGTTTCTTATTAGCTACCCCTTATTCCTAGAAGAGCAAAAATAATCACATTTCATTGCACTGATCGGGCAAATTTACAGTTCTCTTGGGTTAGCAACCTAGAATTAGGAAACATTCTTGAGTTTAAGAGAAGATGAGCAAGAGTAAAGGTTTAGCCTAAGTAACTTCTCTAAGGACTGTCATTCTGTGAAAAGACTGAATAAGACACAGCTGTCGACAATGTTCATTCTCCATAGTTTAGCATTGTCCTTCCTGTGCTGTCCCAAGAAAACAGAACTGTACTTCGGTGGCTCTTAGAAGAACCGTTCTCTGTGGGGCTAGTGTGAACATGACGCCTATTTTCTGGATGACTCTTCCCCGTTTCCCTGTGAAAGGGAGAGTGCCTGGCCTTCCTCCCTGGGTCAGGGGCAGTGCAGTTCCCACATTGCTCTGGTCTGCTCTCCCACTTAACTCCTGAGAGTGTTCAGTAAAGAGCAGCAAAGCTATACCGTCACGTTGAGACCTATTATCACAATATGCAATGGCTCTGTTCAAGGCTATTTGAACACACACCCTTGGAAATAAAGATTTCAATGAAGTATTTAGAATGGAAAGGTCCTGGCATCCTATGTCTGATAGAATTACTGCTTTGGTTCAGACTCGGACTTACCTCTTTATGGTAATCTCCCCAAATAAACAATGTAATAAATCTATATCATCTCAGGAGTAACCCCCAGTCTTTGCCAGGAAAAAGATCTAAACTGACTAGTATAAAACTTTCTCTCTACTACTGGTTTTCATTTATCTATTTATGCCTTCTTTGGCTAGAATCCACTATTGTGGTGGCATACACACTTCGGAGTCAGGCTGCCATGGTTCAAATCCTGGCTCCAGGAGGTCTGTGAGCTGGAGCCACGTCCTCCCTCTCTCGTGTCTCCATTTCTTTATCCACAAAAAAAAGGGATTACAATAACAGAAGCTCACTGCGACGGCTGCTCCAAATATTAGGATAATAAATATAAAGCTCTATGCATAGCAACTGACACAAAACCATAATAAATACTAACTACTATTATTACTTTCATTTTTTTCTTCTGATTTATTTTTCACAATCTTTCCCCTACCAGATTTCCTTCAGAGCACATGATCAGTGGATTAGCAAATAGTTGTGAAACATCTACGGAGGAACAGATATTGTAAGGGTTGCAAGTAATAATAATAATGTAGAAGCACTGATCGGGCAAATTTACAGTTCTCTTGGGTTAGCACCACAATGTACATAAAACGATTAAGAAATAATAAATCCAGGCAAACCATTCCTGACTAAATTGCATAGTTCAGAATAAGGGTTGCACGTGCCCAGAAAAGGAGACCTCAGTAAAAGCAGCTTCATGGATGTTGTTGGAATCTGAATTGATCTTAAAGGATGAGTAATATTTAAGTGGGTGAAAGGGGAAGAAGGATGCGTTCTAGGCAGAAAACAAGACGGGAAAAGACAGAGATAAAGGTCCCGAGTGCTCTTGAGAAGTAAAGACCCTTGCCTGCCTGCCTTCATGTTTTATCGTCATTTATTTCAGATGAGTAAGAAAATTAAGCTCAATATTTAAATGGAGTAGGGCAGAGATGAGCAGGTCTGTGTGCCACAGCAAGCAGTTCTTGTGTTTAGAATAGCCTAACCCCATCTTCTATGTTCCATTCTCTAACCCAGACGAGTTCCTTTCATTATGTCCACTCACGAACAACTAAAAAAAAAGCCTTACCCTACAGCTAATACAGAATTGCCTTGGTACCAGTCAGTTGCGTAAGTCATGGCTTTTAAAAATCGCCCAGGGAACTTGATGAGTTTATCACAATGATGACTGCCATTGTTTGCCAAAGCAATAATTTCCACATCTCCTGGGAAGTATTTATAGAACAGCCATATTCTAAATGTCTGGTTACTATAACTGGCTGTTAAAAAGAGACTTTCAAAATCCAATAGATTTTGCTGTATATCTTTAAAATTCTGTAGTCAGAGTAAAGAGAATTTGTTTATATTTAGAACATTTTCTTTTTCCTGAGAAGATTTTATCCTTTGAATCGAAATCTACTTTTTTAAAAAATAGAAACAAACTATAATATGAACAGCAGAATGTAAATATCGGGATTATTATCTTAAGTAGTTAGTACTTATTTGAAAAATTCATATTTAATTTTACTTTATTTAAATGTCTACAGGTGATCCTATTGGTTCATGGAGAAATGAGAATAGAGGTAAAGTATGAAAAGCTTTTTGTAATTAAAATAATAGTTCCATTAAAAAATTAAAATTGTGTTCAGGCAAACAAATATTAAATGTTTTAAATTATTTAACAATTAAATTGTGAAAATTCTAAAAATTAATCCAATACTTAAATACCAGCAATGTGTAAGTGTTATTAATGTAATTTATCTCAGACATTGTTTCTTCTTATGTTAAATCAACAGGTTCTAATGAAACAGGGCCTGTGTGCCCAGAATAGTTAAGATATTGTGGAATATATGGAGAAAATACAAAATATGATTAAATGCTGCCTTAAAAATCACAATGCAAAAAGCTTTGTAACTCTTTTAGTTATTTAATGTTTCTTCTTTGACAAAGTCTGAGATAGAGCAACGTAAACATCCAAAAGCCTTAGATATCCTGAAACATAGGGGGCTCCTCAACCTATGGTCTATATAAGCAATTCCCAAAGCGAAAATGTCCCACACATGCATACTAAACGGAACCCCTTTTCCCATAAGACGAAAGGGCAGCCTGGAGAAAATGGGACTGCGGTGCAAGGCAGAAGGAGACATAAACGTGAATGGGTGAAATTTGCAAGACCCTGCAGAGAAGAGGAAGACAACTCCAAAAGAAACCCCATTGCCCAAGTAAGTCACCTGAGCAGGGCAGTGCGAGTTTTCAGAACAAATGGATTGGATGGAAATTAAAGTAATAGGGCAGTTCCAGTTAGCAAAATGCAGACTGGGCCACCCACAAAATAAGTAACCTGATATCTACAACCAAAAAGAAATCAATAATAATAATAATAGAGATAGACAAAGATGAAGGAATTATGGTCTATAGACTAATTAAAAAATAATTAAAAGACACCTGGACCTATTTCAATGGGTAAGCCTTATTTAGATCCAGATTCTAGCCAATAGGAAAAAATATGTGGATAAGACAATTTTTAAAATGGCTGGGAGCCAACATTGAATTGACCATGTATTCTTAATCATTGGTGCTGGATGATAAAATATATCAGGTTCATTACACTATTGTAATTTTATATATATTTGAACTTTTTCACACAAAAAGCTTTAAAATTAGAATAATAAAAAGCAATACATTTTAATACTTACTATGTAATCCCTTTCCCTTTTTCCTCCAGCTCTCCCTATTTAAGCTAAAATAAATGTCTTCTGAAAATGTTAACTGTTAAGAAAGGAATATTCAGAAGTAGCCTCTCTGACTTTATCTCAATCTTTTAACATCACCATGGTGGCCACAATCTAAGCAAATGTTCTAAAGCCAAAATGATTAATGCATTTTTGTCCATACCGGTCAACAGAAGCAACAATTTATGTCATATTTCTAGTATATATTTAGGTAATAAATAAACAGCACAGTGTCAGAAAGGGTGAATAAAACGAACAGATGACTTAAGACTATAGCAGTGGAGAAAAGGGGGGAAGGAAAAAGACTGACTAACACTTTGTATTAGTATTTAACACTTTGGGTATTTTTTGCTGCAGATTAGTTCAGATTTCCATGCAAAACAGAAAATTACCTACCGCATTACTGGAATCGGAATTGATCAGCCCCCTTTGGGAATCTTTGTTGTTGACAGAAATACTGGAGATATTAACATAACAGCCATAGTTGATCGTGAGCAAACCCCAAATTTCCACGTAAGTAGTGTCTTCAACATGGGGCGCCCTTTTCCCCTCATGTATCATAGCTAGAGGACGATACTCTCGTACTGGTTAATTGAGAAGAGATATCAGTGCATAAATCAGTCTACCAACAAATAACAACATTAGTCCCTTGACAAAGAGCCTCCACTCATGGTCATGCCCCTGAAGGAACATGCCAGGAGGGGCATGACTGCCAAACTCCAGACGCCGCCTGCCAAGAGCTTCGCCCTGCCATGAGTCAGTAGCAGTCCGGAGAAAGGGCAACTAGCCCAACGGGTCTGCCCAGACGGGTTCCCTTTCTTCCTTTGTCTACTCTTTGGGGAAATATTTTTCTCCTTTGCATGAAAGTTCTATCCATGCCAGGGCAAGCTCCTAGTATGCAAATTAAGCTTGTTGAGTGAGAATTAACATTTTCCCTTTTATTTCTAGATCACATGTCATGCACTAAATGCCTTAGGACAAGAGGTAGAGAAACCACTTATATTAACGGTCAAAATTTTAGACATCAATGACAACCCTCCAGTGTTTTCACAAAGTGTATTCATGGGTGAAATTGAAGAAAATAGTCCTGCAAGTAAGTCTTTTTACAGTACCTACCACTGCTGATTTTTTTTTTCAAATACAAGTATCACGATAGCATATCATTTTTATAAGCTAATTTATTCTTAGTTTCATCAGTTTTCCAGAAAAACTCATAGAGATAACCTAAATCTTCTTTCTGATATTTGCAGTTGAGCTAATAATTCATTGCCTTTGTACTTCTAGGTGTGGCTCTGTTATGAGGCCAATAGTATCATATTCTGTGCATACAAGTTACATGGGCACCCAGCAGTCACAAAGCTAAAGCGGGGGCCTTAGGTAGCCGGGATGCACCAGCAGGGCTTTTTGAAATTATAAGGCACGAGACACTCTCACGTCACTTGAATAATTTGGGGAAAAGAGAATCATAAAGCCATCCACCAAGGGAAGACAGAAAAGCCTCTCAACCCCACACAGCCAAGGCCTAAGGGGAACTGGAGGGTTTTAGGGAAGGCAGTACAGTTCTACCTGATGAAGACAGACAGCAAGTGCCACATCATATTTTGTTAGCATACATATAGGTATAAGATCTTAAAAAAAACAAATATTGATTTGAAATTGTGTTGAGTCATTAGTGTGAACAGAACATCAACGGCTCCATATTCTTTAATGAACTTCTCCTTCCTAGACTCTCTGGTGATGATACTGAATGCCACGGACGCAGATGAACCAAACCATCTGAACTCTAAAATCGCCTTCAAAATCGTCTCCCAGGAGCCCGCGGGCATCTCCATGTTCCTCATGAGCAGACACAGCGGGGAAGTCCGCACTTTGACCAATTCTCTTGATCGAGAGGTAAAGCAAGGCACTTCGGAGCCATTAAAGTAAAGGATTTTATTTAAGAAAGCCAGAAAGAAGTGATTCCGTTTTGCCAGAGAATGAAAAAAGAGAGGAAAAGAGGTTCCCAGTACTCAACGGGGCCAAACTAGGGAAACGGTCTGCCTTCTAATGTGACTCCAGAGGGTGGGGCCTGGCACCTGCATATCAATCACACCCTTAGTAAACAGGTGAGCGCCCCAATGGGTGTTACAGTGGAAGAGGGCATTGCATTCACGGGCAAGGACCAACTGCGATTAATTCCTCATATGACGGAGGAAAGGGGTATTTCACAGATGAAGCACAAAATGTCTATCTGGAAAACAGCCGTCTCTGATGGCACACTTTTTCTCCTGACTTCTTTTAATGTTACCCCCGCTTCCAGAACACTAAAGAATCTCCTTCCTCTCTCTCCCCCATCATCCTACCACCACCACCACCATGCACTACCCCATTGTAGTCCATATTACTTTTATGCAGATGATTTTCTGAACAGACTGACAGGGAAAAAAACCTCTGTAAGTGAGCTTCCCTCGCATAGCATCCCACCATCATCACTGCCCATTTTGTTCTAAGTGTCCTTTCTTGCCCTAAGCAGCCCACAAAAGAGAAAATCTGTCCCAGCCTCTTAAAGACTTCGAGAGCCCCGCACACACCCTCGATGATGGACAGCACAAGTGCACGCGCTCCAATAAATCACGAGCTGGAATATTTTCCCTCCCTACTCATAGGAAGCACGTAGTTATCACTCATATTCTTGGCACTGGAGTTAATTAATTTTCTTTCTTGACTCCAAATGTAGCAAGTGAGCAGCTACCGTCTGATTGTGAGTGGCGCAGACAAAGATGGAGAAGGACTATCAAGCCAGTGTGAAAGCAGCATCAAAGTGAAGGATGTCAATGACAACTTCCCAATGTTCAAAGAATCTCAGGTACACCCTTCACTCCCTCAAGAATAATTTTTATATATTTTTTTATTATATACGTTGCCACCCTAATTCAGCATGTGTCTGCTTGCTGGCTTCTATTTAGGTTCTCCGCACTTTTCTCTAAAAAAAAATAGCTTTTGTAAAATATAAGAATTCAGTAACTGGCAAGGAGGCAATACGTAATCTGAGAATTCATGACTAATGTCATTCAGAATAAACATAATCCCCTTTGACAGAACCTGACATTGAGTCTTAAATTCTGCTTCTCTCCTTAGTATTCAGCGCGTATTGAGGAAAACACTTTGAGTTCTGAGTTACTTCGATTTCAAGTAATAGATTTGGACGAAGAGTTCACAGATAATTGGCTGGCAGAGTATTTCTTTACCTCTGGCAACGAAGGGAATTGGTTTGAAATACAAACTGACGCCAGGACTAACGAAGGCATCCTGAAGGTGGTTAAGGTAAGGTCTCACTTCCCTTTGGTGGCAAACATATTCTCTATTAGCCAAAACTATCATTTCTACAAGTAAACTTTATGCACTTATTAATCATACCACTTCCTTCTAGAAAACACATAAAAGTAGGTCGAATTTTTTTAAAGACACACACATATAGCCCCATTACCTAAAGACAGCCTTTTTAACATGTTGATTTATTTCCTTCCAAAACAACATACTGTCTGTAGTAAACACAAATACACACACACACACACACACACACACACATGCTTGATTTAAGCACAAGAAAGTAAAACACGTTTCTTGACTTAATCTCATTCTCCCTCTACAACTGAAGTTAGGAAGAGATACAAACACACACATGGAATTGTGGCTTTTGAATCTGCCCATTTATTTTAAGTGGATTAGCTAGTCAAGGAGGAAAAGAGGCAAGTCTTTCTAGAAAATGGGAACGTATAACTAAAGCTGCAAGATGAGAAATGGGTGAGTAAAGTAACCCTTTAAGTTGCTTGGCAGTCACTGCAAAGTTAACACACAAATCCAGATCTCTTACTATAATTATTTCCACGAATACACAAATGTAACCGAAATGAGCATGTCCTTATCTCAACACCCCCAACAAATTCACTGTGAAGGCTCCCCGCGGGTTCCTCAGGCCTCGGCCTGGGCCAGCTCCTAGGAGGGTCAAACCGTTCTCATGCAAGACCATCTGCAAACGGGTCTGTAAAAAGCCACCCCCGCACTGCTGTACGGAGGCCTCTTTGCCAACCAAGTTTATAAAGACAGTTTGCCTTGGCCACCTACGGATTTGTAAAATCAGAAAAGACATCATTGCACATGAATCCAGTGACTGTTCTGTGAGGGGCCAGAGCTGCCATTCAGAGGCATGTATTATGGGCCTCAGTTTGCTCAGTCCTCACAACCTGACGAGGTGAGGGATTTGTTTTTGTCAGTTTTGTTTTGTTTTTATTAATCCTTACCCAAGGATATTTTTCCATTGATTTTTAGGGAGAGTGGAAAAGAGATGGAAAGACAGAGAAACATCGATGTGAGAGACACACATCGACACACAGATTGGTTGCCTCCAATCAGGGCCAAGGCTCAAGGGGCCTGCAATCAAGGTACATGCCCTTGACTGGGATCGAACCCAGGACCCTTTGGTCTGCAGGCAGATGGTCTTTCCACTGAGCCAATCCAGCTAGGGTGGGATTTTTTTTTCAGAAGTGGGAAGTTGAGGATCAGAGATATGAAATACTGTTCCCTGAGTCGCACGGATTGTAAGTAGCAGAACTGGGATTCAAACCAGGCTGCCATAACACGTGGGTTCTTTCCTCTGCACCACGTTGCCTAAAATGACGTTTGCTAGTACCCTGCTTTGTGAGTATCATTACACTGAGGTTACATGAGTTAAGAATTCCAAAGGTTCCTCTGTCTCAACATTACAATGCTCTCTGAAACTATTTTGCTAGATCTGTTTCTATTCATAGAAATAGAAGGATCCATTCATCGCATATAAGATAGAGTTCTCTTGTCCTCTTGTGTGTTTGCCAAACCGTATTTCTTTGACACTTCTTTTCTTCTCATTTTATTTTTACTCCAGCCTCTAGATTATGAACAACTACAAAATGCACAATTTAGTATCGCCGTCAAAAACAAAGCTGCATTTCACCAATCTGTAATCTCTCAATATCGAGTCCAGTCAACCCAAGTCAAGGTTCAAGTTATAAATGTGCGAGAAGGAATTGCATTCCGCCCTGCTTCCAAGACGTTTACTGTTCAAAAAGGCATAACTAGGAAAAAGTTGATCAATTACATCCTCGGAACATATGCAGCCATTGATGAAGACACTGGCAAACCTGCTTCAAATGTCAGGTATGATTACTTCAATAACATTGTATTATTCCTTGACTTAGTATTAATCTATAAATTATTACACCCAGCCAGTGTGGCTCAGTGGTTGAGCGTCAACCTATGAACCACGAGGTCACGGTTCAATTCCCACTCAGGGCACATGCCCTGGTTTCAGGCTCCATCCCCAGTGTTAAAATAAATAAATAACACCAAAACTATTATATGGCAAGAATATAAAGTTATACAAAGGTGGCCAACTCAATGAGCTGAGTTAAAATAAATAAATAACACCCAAACTATTATATGGCAAGAATACAAAGATATACAAAGGTGGCCAACTCAATGAGCTGCTACCTGGAGAAGAGATAAGTAGTGGAATCATTAGATGATATTGTATTATGAGCACAGATAACATAAGCGTAAGTTAAAGTGGAAACAAAAAGAAAAATGCTTCAGCCTGCCTACAGAGGTCAGGACAATGGTTCATGGAAACTTTCAATTGAGTCTTAAAGAGCAGAAGTTCACCAGAAGGCTGTGGTGCAATAAGATGGAACAGTATCTACAAAGACACATACACCTAAAATCTAAGAGCACGTGCAAAAACAGTTACTGTAGTGTAAAGAGTAAGAACACAGGTTACTGCACCGAGCATAAATTAGAAAAACCCAGATGAACACACTCTTAGGGTTATAAAATACTGTTTTTCCATGCTAATTTGTTAATTCTCTGCTGCTTTTCAGAAAAGCATATTTCAATGTCTTATACTCAATATAAATACATTAAATATAAATGGGTCATTGTCATTAAGTAGGTAACATTCCATATTTGAAAGAAAAATATTACCTTTTTCTATTATAAAACAGATATGCCCTTGGACGGAATGATGGTGGTTTTCTAATTATTGACTCAAAAACGGCTCAAATAAAATTTGCCAGAAACATGGTTCGGGATTCTACTTTCATATATAACAGGACAATCATAGCAGAGGTTCTAGCCATCGATGGTAAGAAAAATATTTCAATCGTATTTAGAGAAATGTTCCCCCAATTGCATTTAGTTATGAATAGATGATTATGATTCTTGAACAAATTCCTTTCAACACTAGATCAATGATTATAGGGCCTTGGGTCTCAAGTCCGAGGCAGCTGAAACTGGAAGGCTAGCATTCCAACATCTCAGTGGCCTTTGTAGCACCAGTGAATTCTGTGTTCCGTCCTGTGGTTGCTTGTGGTTGGGACAGGGATTTTTAGACCCACCAGAGTTTCTGGTTTTGAGAAGGATGGATAAAGATTGATGCTGAATGCCTACAAGGGAAGCTCAGCTCCAGTGGGAGGTGCCTTTGTGAGTTACTCATACAATGAGTTCCTTATGAAGACCTCATGTGCTTATGTCATTAAACAATAAAATATTCTGGAATGTTTTAAAAATAATATTCATTAACCTGTATGTGTGTGTCGACAAGTATAAAATTAGCTTCTACTCAAGGCAATAAGCACACATAAAGTTAAAACAAAAGAATAAACACCAAAATTCACATCATCTGAGAAAACAGCAAAAAGCATGAAGGGAAAAAATACAGAAAGATTCAATCCTGCCACTGCTAGATTTCATTTAATGTTTTTGATTGTCAACATATTTAAATTTTTTTCAATAATCTTTTATATCTTAGGTAACAAAAATAAATCATTTATTATTCCAAATACTTTGGCCCAAGCTTTAGAAGTAAAAATCTTTCACACAGTGCTGGGATCATGGAGTAGGATACACTTAAGAAAACTATTATTTTTCTGTTGATTTCATTAGCAGTCAGTGAATTCATCACCTTACAGGTCTTGGTCCCAAGTATATTAAATTAATAGCCAATGCTACAGAATCAGATGCCAGCCAAGTTAAATTTTCTTTTTACAAAATGTGGAGATTGTAGGTCATTTTTACTTGTAAGAATAACAAATATAATCTCTCATGAGAAGTCACACTAACTTGGCTGCATGCAGGAAACGCTTAAAAGGTTCATTTTTGTTTGTTTATATTTTTTAAAATATATTTTATTGATTTTTTACAGAGAGGAAGGGAGAGGGATAGAGAGTTAGAAACATCGATGAGAGAGAAACATCGATCAGCTGCCACCTGCACACCTCCTACAGGGGATGTGCCCACAACCAAGGTACATGCCCTTGACTAGAATCGAACCTGGGACCCTTCAGTCCACAAGCCGATGCTCTATCCACTGAGCCAAACCAGTCAGGGCTGTTTATATTTTTTCATCTTTATTGTTGAAAGTATTGCATATGTCCCCTCTCTCCCCATATTGACTCTTCTAGCCTGCTTGTTCTGTGTATCTTTTTAACTCTAACATGCCATTCTTACAGAAAACACGGGCAAGACATCTACAGGCACCATCTATGTTGAAGTGCCTGGTTTTAATGAAAATTGTCCAACAACTGTCCTGGCAACGGAAATGATCTGCAGCTCATCACCTTCCGTGGTTGTCTCCGCGAAAGCGCAGGACAGTGATAGATACACTGGCCCCTACACGTTTTCACTGGAGGATGAAAATGTAAAACTGCCAAATGTGTGGCGGATCACGACCATTAACGGTGAGTAGCAGTGCGGGTGCACCACCAAGGCAAATGCCCGGAGGATGAGGGTGCTCCTGGGAGCAAGTTCTTTCCAGGAGCAATTGAAGAACATTCGATGCGACGAAGATGGAGCCCTTGCCTCGGGAATTTCTTCTCTTTAGCAGAGGAAAGAAACGCTGTGAGGTCATGTTAGCACTGTTTAATATTTTCTGTTTTTCCTGTGGACTCCAATTTGTTATTCGTATATGTTATTTCTACCTCCATAGCACACCAAAATAAGATTAGTCAGGCACCTATTGTATTGCAGAGCTGTTTAGGTTTCTGAATACATAAAGGTTTCTTTCTGAGCAGGCTGTGGGCAGACAGGACGCACTGGAGGGCCGGCCTGCTCAGGGCTCATAGGAAGAGCTCCTTAGAAGAGCTGCAAGTCAGGGATCCCGAGCATGGGGTGAATGGAAACCGGTAAACCCATTAGCCAATGGCAATGCGCTAATCCATCCTTCCTTTTCTTCTGACCTTTTCCACGTTAAGTTTACATTTCCTGTCTTTGCCAGGAGTCTCAGAGAAAGAGCTAAGAGACTTAATAAGAATCTCCTCCCTTTCCAAATTTTATAGTGACCATCAGGCCATCTCAGTCCCTTATAAATGAACTCACTTTTCTCTAACTCCTTTCTGAACCAACCATGCTCCCGGTTATCCATGTGCGCCGCGGGGCCCAGTCCTAGGTGTCAGTCATCGCTAGGTCTGCCTTAGCTCTCGGGGAGTCAGGGAAAAGGGAGCCCTGGGGACAGGTTTAGGGGTTAGCCTGAGACGAGCTGCTGCTGCCCACTGCTCCCCTGGTTACAAGCCTCATGGGGTCCCTTAGGGTTTAGGAGATGCGTGCCTGTGGGGGAAGAAGAGGGAAAGGGAATGGTGGGAAAGGGGGCGTTCCCCCAAAGGGAGAGCACACGCTGAGTCCTTTGTCTGGAGACTTTATCTCTTTCTTGCAGGTGGGAATCTTAGGAAAGGTCTCAGGGGAGGGTTTCAGCAGAATATTAATCCGTTTTCTAGGTTCAGGGTCGTGGTCTCCACCGATTGGTCAGTCTCAGGGCAGGGGTTAGTCAGTCATCGCAGCAGGTCCTAGGGTCGCCCACCTGGCGCTGCTGCTTGTCTGGGCCTGGAGCTGAAATACAGCTGAGGCCTAGCAGTTGTCTCCAAGGAGGCGGCCTTCTGTACGGCTGTAAATGGCTCCGCCAGATTGTTCAGCTACGGTCTCCATGTCCGTGCCCCACTGTCCTGGCTTCCTGCCTGTCTCAAGAGGGCCACCAAGAACCAAGGAGTTGGCATAGGCAGACACACAGGAGCGGGTGCGCTCCAGGAGAGGGACCTGGGACTTAAATGATGCCAGCGCCCCTCTTCTTTGTGGGGACATTCAGGGTAGGGGACATTCATGGGTCTTCATGGGGGACCCTCTGGGATCAGGAGGATGTACAGCCCAATTTACCCAGCCAAATCCCTGTAGCCTCGTAACTGCTCACATCTCACCCTACCATTAGCCTCACTGCTTGCGACAGTGACGTCTACGGAACTCTGGTTCTGTTAACCAAAAGCAGTAGTTTTAGAGAAAAGGCACCTGTCCCACTGTTGATTTGCATGATTATTTCTCTACAGCCACCTCTGCACTGCTGACCGCCCAGCAGCAGCTGTCCCCCGGGAGGTACCCCATATCCCTCGTGATTGCAGACAGACAAGACAGGCAGTGTGACACTCCAGACAACCTGGCTGTGGAGGTGTGTCAGTGTGACAACAGGGACACCTGTACAGACCCCCAGCCCGGGCCCAGGTATGGAGACCAGCCATCTGGGAGGCTGGGGCCCAACGCCATCGGCCTGATCCTGCTTGGCCTTTTGCTGTTGCTGCGTGAGTATCCCCATGCTTCCTCCTGTTTCTCCCCGGGGGTCAGCACTGCAGAGGCCTTCGCCCTACTCGGGCGATGCATGTCTGCGATGCAGTAGACATGTTCCCTAACTTTCATAGGCAAAGCCGGGGGAAATGGCATTCCCAGGAAGAATCTGCAGTGTTTACAGTTAACGTGTCACTTGCCAATAATCTATATTCATACCCAGCCAAGCAGGTCATATATGTGAGTCGTAATCTATAGTCATAAATGGCAGACATTAGCATAAGGCATAAGCAAGCAATAAATGCTAGACATTTAGAAAACAGCATGAGAGAATCAAGATGGGGAAAATAATCCTCATGATCAAAACAATGATTTTATCCATGAGGGAGACACTTCCTAAAATGTTTTCGCCACATCCAAGTCTCATGAGGTTCTGAAATAAACAGAGAGCCTTGGACAAATAAATTGAGGAAATCATGGGCTGTGTGCTTTACAGCACACAGTAACTTATCACAGGCTCGGAGACAGCACTGCTTAATCCAGCCCTTCTCCAAACAGCTGACCGCCTCAATGCACACCCTTTATAGCTTCTTCACTTCATATGATCAGGGTCATTGAACACATTTAGGAAAACTACACACATGTGTTATTTTTTAATAAGAGTAAAATGCACTTTATTCAATAGACGGGTTTCTAAAAAGTTGCATTTAAATCGAAATCTTGTGAATCAAATCATATTTTTAATTTAAAAGAACTTCTGGTAAATTCTTGTATAAATAAGAGAAATCCTTGAAAAAATTCACAGTCACTTCCCTAATTCATTAAAAAACCATAGACTTTTAGAGTTAAAATTCACTAAACCCATTCACTTAAATGTTAACTTACAAGGTATTTTTAAAGCATAAGGAAGTGCAGTTTGCTGGTTTAATTGCTGTTTCCTAAGAGCGCAGAGGAGACCAGACCACTAAAACATCACGCCCACCTAAAATCCTGTCCATCCAGTGTGCATTCACTTGACACCATAAACACAGCCTCAACATGTACAAATAGACGCCATCATAATAAGAATAAATTACATAATAAGAACAAGGATGGAGGAGCTGAACCACCACGTTCATCAGCCATCAAGCAGGGCCCGTTTAAGACAACAATACACATATCACAAGAATAACCGCTCTGTCTCCTTCAGTTTCATGATCATATGAAATTTTGGTTATGTTTAATTTACCAAATGTTATTTCACAGAAACAAACTGTGCTTTCTATTAGATTTTCCATAAATATTAAAAATATTTTCTTTTCTTTGTAACATTTCTGACAAGCGTCATGTTAACTCATTTCCGAGAGATTGAAATGTCTTACTACTTTGTCTTCCTTTATGCTAGTGGCCCCCCTTCTGCTGCTGACCTGTGACTGTGGGAAGGGTCCCATTGGGGGAGCAACCACTGGATTCATCCCAGTTCCTGAGGGCTCAGAAGGAACAATTCACCAATGGGGGATCGAAGGGGCCCAACCTGAAGACAAGGTGAGGATCCCGTGTGTCAAACATTTATCTCAGTTATATAGAGGGAAGTTCTGTTTATATTCAGATAGGAAAGGGGGTTTGGGGTATAAAAATAAGGGGCTCCCTGGCCCTCAAGGACCCTTTGGAGTCAGTGCTAAAATGAACGGAGCCTTTTAAGATCTTAGTTCTTCAGACGTCAAATCCTAAAAGTGGTTATTCCTGCAAGCATTTGGGTTTCTTGTAATGTCACCATTTGCAAAGGGCCACAAAATCTGTGTGTGTGTCTTTAATGTATTTTTTTTAACATGGTTTGCAGGAAATCACAAATATTTGTGTGCCACTTATAACCTCCAATGGAGCTGATTTCATGGAAAATTCTGGTATGTGAACATCAAATTTATTTCTGAAAGTCACAGTGGGTTAAATAAGAAATGTTGAAAAACAAGAAGTGTTCTAAATTCTTTTCTTAATAATTTGCATATTTGTGTATATGCTAGGAGGTGATACCATTAAAATAGAGGGTTTTTTTGTTTTGTTTTGAAATATATTTTATTGATTTTTTACAGAGAGGAAGGGAGAGGGATAGAGAGATAGAAACATCGATGAGAGAGAAACATCGATCAGCTGCCTTCTGCACGCCCCCTACTGGGGATGTGCCCGCAGCCAAGGTACATGCCCTTGACCGGAATCAAACCTAGGACCCTTGAGTCCGCAGGCTGACGCTCTATCCACTGAGCCAAACCAGTTAGGGCTAAAATAGAGTTTTAATGAAATGGTTTATTTTTAGGATATTAGTCAATTTCATGACCTAAATCTGGCTTCAGTAAAGTTCATTTGCCCACTGATGCCACTGTTTTTAATCTATGAAGACTTGTTACTTTTCTCAAACTTTAATGAACTGAACTATAGCTCTCACACAGTCAATTATGATTTTTTAAATAGAAAAGATTTCACACATATAGAAAAATATAACAAACACTGTACTACCACCCAACTTTGACTATTCTTTTTGTTGTTGTTGACTATTACACATTTTCCCCACTGTCTCCTCCTCTGCCTCCTTCCACCCTGCCCCCATGCCCCTGAGCCTTCACCACACTATTGTCTGTGTCCATGAGGTATGCATATATGCATATATATTCGTTGGTTGATCTCTTCCTGTCATCTCCACCCTCCTTCCCTCTGAGATCTGTCAGTTTGTTCCATTTACCCATGCCTCTGATTCTATCTTGTTCATCAGTTTATTTTGTTCTTTAGATTCTGCATCTGAGTGAGACCATGTGATACTTGTCTTTCTCTGACTGACTTATTTTGCTTAGCACAGTACTCTCTAGGTTCATACATTCTATTGCAAAGGGTAAGAGGTCCTTCCTTTTTGCTGCTGCATAGTATTCCTTTGTGTATAGTACCATAGCTTTTTTATCTACTCATCTTCTGATGGGCACTTGGGCTATTTCCAGATCTTGGCTAATCTAAATAATGATATGTGAACATTTGGGTGCATATATTCTTTCTGATTGGTGTTTTGGGATTCTTAGGATATATGCCCAGAACATTGGTAATATTTGCACTTAAAATCTCATATGTGCACATCCTCAATCTTATTGACCTTCTTCCTTCCACCGAACTAACAGTATCCAGATTTGAGTCCAGTTACCAATTCTTATTTCAACCATAATGGAACAAGATCACTTATGTTGTCATACAGGTGAAATTATTCCTTTAGTTTAGCAAAGACTCTCTTATTCATATTATCTCAATGCCACAACTAAGGCGTAAACTAGAGGAACAATGAGACCTTAATGCCCAATAGTAGAATTTTTCTTAATTCTATACTTAGCAATAGATATAAAATCTTCATGAGATATCCTCAAAACTGCAACTGTCTACCTTTAAAAGCGACCCCAATCCTCACCTGCTCCCCCAATATAATTACATAGCAAAGCTATATTCAGAATTCTCTAGAAAAAAAGAACTTTCTACGACAGTAGAATGTAAAGGTAACAGGCAGAATAGTCACAGTTCATACATTTTCCTTAGGCAGCAAGACACCAAATTAGCACCAGCTAATTTGCATGATCACATAAGTATGTCTCCTCTTTGGGTTTCAGACTGAGCCAATATGGCAGCTTCATTACACTTTTTCCCCTGAAAACAAACAAGCATTGCATCAGAAGCTTTCCACGGCGGTGTGCTGAATATTCTGTTTTTACTTTTCCGTTGCTGGCTGCTGTCACTGGGAAGCCATTTCCTTTGTATATTTTTCAATTAGCATGTTTCCAGAGCGCGTTCACCTGCCAGTACCCCCTGTTATGCCCTCCCCTCCTGGTTACTCTCACATAGCAGACTGTGGGTGTTCTTATCACCACTAGACGTAGCATTATGTTTTCCCCCACCGATTTGCTTTACTTAATGACTGCTCCTGGATATCAAAGACCAGGGTTTTAAAGAACCCCAGCAGGAGACGTTAGAGAACTTCCTCCCCTGTGTTTAGATGTTTGTGTGAATGCCTGTGCCAGAGGAACGGCCGTGGAAGGCGCTTCGGGCATGGAACTGACCACCAGCGTTGGAGCAGCCGCGGGGTCTGGGGCAGCCGCGGGATCTGGGGCAGCCGCGGGGTACGGAGCCACCGCCGGGCTTGGCTTCTGCTCTGCAGGCCAGTCGGGAACCATGCGAACAAGGCATTCCACTGGCGGGACCCACAGGGAATGCAGTGAAGGAGTAATAAGCATGAACTTCCTGGAGTCCTACTTTTCCCAGGTAATTCGGTGAGAAACTTCACGGCTCTGTTATGGACGTTAGGGATCTTTTCCTACTTGACTATATTTCGGTTTTGCAGTTGCTTTACAGCTTGTTAAAATGTAACAAAAAATCGGGGTTCTTTGCCTAAATGATACAAATAAAGTAGGATGGCTGTCAAAATTGGGCTCCTGGTCAAAAGGAAAAATAGGCAAATAGACACAAAGTGAGAGAAGATAGCAAGCGGCACCTCATCCTTCCAACTGGAACAGCAATGAACGGCAAACTTTTGCATTTCCGGATCAGCAACATCCCCTTTAGAAATGCGAAGCAGCTTGTTTTGTATTTCCTATCCCATAAAGGATGTCGGAACAGAAGTGCATATATTTTATGAGAAAAGGTTATAGTATTCTTCACATTTTCAAAGCAGTCCATGCCCAGAATAGTTGAAGAACCATTGCATCAATGACCCAAAAATAAAAGTGCGAAGAAGGGATGTGGTCACAGATCCAATGAGCACAGAACCTTAAAGGGACAAGGGTACCAGAACAGAGAGGACTCTGGGAGCAGGTTGTTTGCCTCCTGGTTGGTGTGTGATTAGAACAGATCTCACATACAGTTTTGGTTTCAGACTGGCAAGTGCAGGATCTTGCGCTCAGATGAGCTAATGTAGACTGGCACTGTGCTTGAGGCTAGCCTGGCAGGGATGGCTTGTTTGGGAAGAGGATTCTTGGGATAGCCTGAGGTGGTGTGGGTCCTAGTTCAAGGGCAGGCTCCCACGAGGGCTGCAGAGTCTAGGCCAAGGCCGCAGTCTGGGTGGGAGCTGTGTAGAGGATGACGGTGGGATGTCTTCTCCCCTCCCCCAAACACAAAGACATGCATGGGCACAAGTACACACAGGGCCCTCACACTTGGCCCAGGGAGTAACCTCCAGGCTTCATACACATTTGTTTTCAGGCCTACATCCATGTAAGTGCCTTCAAAACCAAGAAGTAACGCCTGAGCCTCGGCCAGGCTCAATTCTGAGGGAAAGTCAACTACACTACTCTCCAGGCCCCAGATAATTTCTGCCAAGATTGTTGGTACGAAGACTCTGTCTATGTCCACGGATTACTGAAGTCACGCACGCATGATCAGACCTTGAGTGGAGGGATGGTACTACATTCTTCTGCTGAGTCTCTTTTTAAATTCATGTGCCTACTTTTCTCCACCTTTAGAAAGCATTCGCCTGCGCAGAGGAAGCCGATGGCCAGGAAGCAAATGACTGTTTGCTGATCTACGACAACGAAGGCCTGGGGGCCCCCAACTCCCCCGTGGGCTCCCTGGGCTGCTGCAGCTTCATTGCCGATGACCTGGATGAGAGCTTCTTGGACTCGCTGGGCCCGAAATTCAAACAACTCGCAGAGATCAGCCTGGGGCTCGATGGCCAAGGCCAACAGTCTCAGCTGCCCACCCACGGCAGCGGTGCCGGGACGGGCGCCTGCGGCCACTCTGTAGAGATCCAGCACTCAGAGCTGTCTGGGGGCCAGACCACGTCGGGCGGCCAAGGAGCTTGCACTTGGTCTGCTTCCGGCTCTGTCCTCCAGCCGGCCATTTGCATCCCCGACCCCCTGCAGCAGGGCGGCTATTTGGTGACGGAGACTTACTCGGCGTCTGGCTCCCTCGCGCAGCCTCCCACCGCGGCCTTGGATCCACTTCTCATGCAGAACGTGGTCATGACAGAAAGAGTGATCTGTCCCATGGCCAGTGGCCATGGCCACCTACATGGTGCCGCTGAGCTGCGAGGGTCGTGTAACATGATCTACACAGAAGACCCCTGTTCCCGTCTGATATGACCAGAGTGACCTGGAGTAGCATGCTGGCCCCATAGAGATATTTGGACCAAATTATCCGTAACGGCATTGCAAGTCTTGGTATTGGTGTAATTGGGCACCTACTTGCTACGCTCATAAAGGGATCAGAATTACAGTTGAATTTTCTAGTTCATACCCCCAAAGTGAAGATGCTGCCACTCTTAATTCTCAAATACTATTCAAGTGGTAGTAAATGTTAATGCTTTTCAAAAAATCTTCACATACTCAGTAGGAAAATTCCCCAACAATTTTTGAACTTCTGCTTTTGCAGCGCCAAAAAAAGGCATCCATCGCTTTAAAATGCAATGCACTTTTAGGAGATTAAGCACTTGGTGTCAAGAGTCCCAGTTCTTGTCTCTGTCGCCTTTTCTTGTATCATGAATAATGATGTACAAGTCTAAGGTGTTGGCTAAAGCATCTTGAGTTACTCAGGAGGGGAAAAGAGAGTTACTCAGAGTTGAATTTTTTCCATCTTCTTGGTGCTGGGAGACCCTAAGCGCATCTTTTCCTCAAGCTAAGGGGCTATCAATTTATGCTGTAAACTTGCTACAACTATTTGCCTCATATTCTAAGAATAAGGCAATTTTATCATAGAACATTTAAGAAAGGTTTGTAAGTTGTAAATAGTATCGGGGGTTTCTTTATTCATCTTGAAATGATCTGTGCAAAGAAAATGTTTTACACTGAACTCCTTCTTACACACTTCTTAGCAACAAATCCTATATTAATAGTTAAAAATGCTCCTTATTTTTGAAATGCCAGTGGGTAAATGGGATTTACATATGACATGTCATGATGTTTATTACGTTAACAATGTCTACAGACTTTGTGGAAATACAAAACATGGCTTTCTCACGAGCAAAAAGGGGCTTCTGACTAAAATAGCACGAGATGACATTTGTGAATATGTATTATAAGCAGCATTTCAGGTTCAACAGGATATGAAAAGGGATTACCAGGAACATCGATTTTTTTCAAGCCTCGCTCTTTTTTTTTTTTTTTTTAATTAAACAGCTACAGCAATTTCACTCTTGACGTAACAATGTTAAGTTAGTCAAGATTTAGGATATAGTCTTTCATTCATGTTATCATGATAGCCATGCAGTTCTTCAAATCATTTCTGCTCATTGAAGACCTCCAGCCTCTAAGCCACAGAGAGCGCCCTCCCTGCTATGGCCGTCTCTGTGCAGGCCACGTCCCTACCAGGTCACCGTGAAGCTCCACTATCTCTAATTGTCTCTAAAATTCTCCTCATTTTTTTTTGCCAAATTCAAAACTGATATTGTTTTTCCAGATGGAATGCTAAGTAACAAAGTGTTCATGTTTTCACCCAGCAGAGTGCGTGCAGTCTTGAGGATACCTGGGGGGAAGAGACCCCCTAAATGTCCTCACATCTAGCATGCTCCCCTCTCCCCGATGCCACAACTCCCAGGAGGGCGCTGCCAGGTTAGCCTGAGGAGTGCAGGGAGCATGTTCTTCCAGACAAGGCTGCTGCTGCTTTTAAAGGCCTGCAGTGCACTTGGCTTGAGTTGAGGGGAACCTGACCCCTTGGAGCAGCCTGCTGGGTCCTGAGGGAGTCACTTTGCTATGACAACTGGGCACCCCTTCTCTTGTGTCTCAAAGAAGCTTTCTCTGGGATGTTGAGCTGTGCCTCTGTTTATACAGAAGTTAATAGTCATAATAACCCTTATTCTGAGTTCAAAAGTGTACTCAGGATCCTCAAAGGATTTTAACTTTGCCTCTTAAAACCCAACTTATCGGGATATGGGAATGTTGCTGCATTTGTCAGACTGAAGAGGAAACCATGCCATAGCAGGAAAGGTTCTATAGTGGAATAACAGCAATTCAATGTGTTCTGAAATGAAAACACATCAGCCTTGTCTCAGAGGACCTAAAGTTGATTTGCCATGTAAAATAAATTCAAAGCAAAAAATGTATCTGTATTTTTTCACCAAAAATAAAAATTGTTTTAAGCAGAAAAAAAATTTAAACTGTCTTTTTACTTGCTGTATCATCAATTTACAACTATATATATTAAAACTTTAATAGTATAACATCGTTATAATAAACCTTTTGATGACAAACTTATGAGTACTTCCTTAACCATTCACTAAAGGCTGAACTACTCTCTATAATCAATAGTTACTTAAAAACATGATATAAGAAAGTGACTTCCATCTATGTTTTTGTCATTTTCCCAGCTGACGCCCATCCCGCCTCCTCCCAGGCAGGAAGGACATGCCAGGAGCCGGGACCTTCCTCAGGCGGAGGCAGACGATGCTGGGGGAGGTTAGGGCTAACTCAGGCTAACCGGAGGCTGTGACGCGTTTATTATTTGTTTGGTAATCTAGCATCATCTTTCAGGCAAAAGTCTTGGCATTCTATGACTCAGAGAGAAAGGTTGGAATAAAAAAAAAGGTAAGGTTTCCAGCCTAACATGATGAAAAAAAATATACATGGCTCTGGTGACAGCGTTAGCCACAGCGGGGGGTTGCTCCCCACTAAATGCTTGTCATTTTATGTCTTTTATTTTTTTTAAGAAATGCCACAGGATAAGTCCCTTCAGAACTTCAGATCTTGCTTCTGACTGACCTTCCTCACTCTTAAATGCGGACTTGGACTTGCGGTACGGGAAGCAGAAACTGGATTACCATGGATGTTGAGTGAAGAAAGTGGACGGCTTAACTCGGATGATCAACTCAATTTCTGGAAAAATGAAAGCCATGTAGGTAAATGCCACCAGTTTCTCCTATTCTTAGAAAAGTCAAGAATAAAAATCTTAATTTTCAAAACCAAGAGCGTAAAAGGAATACACCCAACTGACTAGCTTCGATGCGACTAATAATTAAAAAACAAGTGAACGTTCAGGGTCTTTCCTTCCTGCTCTTGGCAACTCAGCACTTTCTCAGCTCCTTTACCGGGTGACAGAGAGTGACTGAGTCACAGGTTATGTGGGTTAACACTTGTTCAACAACGCAGTCCAGGAGGCTCTGTGTCAGGGGAATAACTGGTCAGAAAACAAGACAACCATTTGCATTCCAGGTGACAGAAAGGACATGCCTTCCAGGACGAATATTGAGGTTCCTGAGCTTTATCCGGTCCAGGCTGTGCTGAGATCCCCTCCCACAAGACCGCGGCCACGCTAGGTTGGTGTCTTTACTTTCTTTTTCGTTAATACAATGGCTTTTGGTTCTGTTTACAAATACAAACCAAAAAATCTAAACACACACAGATGCAGCTAAAACTCAAGGGAATGATGGTCTAAAAGAACAGTGCAGCTAGCAGAGTGGAAAGAAACGAGACATGGTGAGGGCTGTCTACCAGGCGGCCAGGAGAGTGACATGTTCTCATTTCATTCTTAAAGAACCCTCAGATTGCAGCCATGAAAATAGAGGCTCCGGAAAAGCAAAGTGGCTTCCTCAAGGTCATACAATACTGTGACACAAATGTAAAGGTCTGACTATAATTACTCAGCACTACTGACAATTGTTACTCTCAAAATAATCTATTTTCAGCTCTAAGATTTGAGTAGAACATGAAAATTTAGAAAGAATACAAAGAAAACAAAATAATTTTTTTAAATGTAAAAGATTAGAAATCTAGATATAATTCTAAAGATTAAAGAAGCCATACAATGTAGGCATATACATATATATGCAAGGGTTGGCAAAATTAGGTTTACAGTTGTAAGTACAAGAAACAGTTTCTTTGCATATTATTATTTGTTAATTATGTATTATTACTACAACTGTAAACCTGCTTTTGCCCACCCACGTGTATATGTGTGTGTGTGTGTACATAGAGAGAGAACAAACAGTTATACATATCTCTCTGTATATCTAATATTGAGAGATAAAAAGAAAGAGAGAAAAAAGTAAGAGAGATGGATTAAAATAATGCAAGTGCATGATTTGCTGCTATTTCAAGTATGTGTGAAGTTATTTTTCAGGGCACAATGTCCAGTTCTCTTCCATATTTTACAACAAAACAAGCTACATAGAAGTCATGTAATCTTTTTCGGTAAACTCCTTAAGAATTATTTTGACAGTACACTTTTTTAGAAGAGGTTATATGAATGTCTAGATATAAGCATAACTTTTTTTAAATTTGGTATTTGTAAATATTGTGAAATGATCACCACAATAAATCTAGTTAACAACCGTCATCCTACATAATTACAAAAAAAAATGTTTTCTTTTGTGATGAGGAGTTTTAAGATCTATTCTCAGCAACTTTCAAATATGCAGCTCAGTATTATTAACTATAGTGACCACGCTGTGCATTACATCCCAGGGCTTATTTCTTTTATAACTAGAATAATAAATTTGTACCCTTCGGCCCCCTTTACCCCCCCCCCCCCACCACCACCACCCCATCGCCGCCACCACCACCACCCCTGGCTTCTGGAAACCACCAATTTGTTCTCTGTATCTGTGAGCTTGTTTTTTGTTTTGTTTTTAAATAATAACTTTAAGTGGATGCATTCATCCTAGTTTTCTCATGATTTGTGAAAAACAACACCATTTAACAGTCACGACAACTATTCTACTCCTTAAAGCCATCTCTGTTAGGTCGCCGAAGGAGGACACACGAGGCCAGAACGGTGAGGGATTACAAATTTATTCAATCATCCGCACACCTGGTGGCAATCTCCATTCCTCCTTTATTCCCTTGAAGTACATGGGACCATTGTATTTTTAACCAGTTAACTGCCACGCATCCAAAACTGAAACCATCCCCTCGCCACAATATTTTGAATTGCATCTATAGATGATTATGGCATACAAATGGTTAATTTTATGCCTCAGAACATCTCTGCTGTTTTCTGTGTGCTGAATTTTTCATTATTAAATTAGCAAGCAGAAAATTTCATGTGAAAACACAGAACACCAGATCATGATAATATAAGCAAAACACTGGTATGGAAAAAATACATATGTCCTCATTTCTCAGAAGGCGCAGGAAGCATTTATCCGGTTTCCTAAGCAAGAGGAGACTGCCAAAAGCTTTCTGAAGTATAAAGCAGCACACAAGCAGGTGATCCCGTACTTACTTAGCTGACATAATGACATGGTTTTCGCTCCTGCAAGGCGGCATTTTTACTAAGCCAGAAATCAGTATCTAAACACAAAATGTGAGACTGACTCCAGTTACATCTTCCCTTGTCCAACTGACTCGCACACACATTTGCCTCAGGCAACCATGTCCCTTGGCTTAGCTGAAGCAGGGTCTTCCTATCACCAGCTCCATGGACTGGACATACATGCATGAAGTCGGCTCTCTAAATTTATTATTCACAAGAGAAGAATCGCCTGGATGTGTCACCTTTCTTAGGTATAGCAGAATGAAGACGTCTTGTTTGACCAAACTTTTACTTATTCTCATCCATATTTTTACTAATCAACTTTTGATTAGTTAAAAAATAAAATGTGTAACAGAAAATGGAAGTATTAGTCAAAGGGTACAAAGATTTGGTTATACAAGATGAGTAAGTCCTAGAGATCTACTGTATAGCACAGAGCCTACAGTTAATCATATTATATACTTAAATTTTTGCTAAGAGGGTAAATCTTATGTTAAGTACTCTTATCATAAAAATAATAACAACAATAAGATGGTGTAAGGAAACTCTTGGAGGTGATGAATAGGTTTATGGCATGAATTGTGGTGGTGATTTCTGGGTACATACTTGTCTCCAATCTCGTCAAGTTGCCTATATTAATATGGACAACCTTTTGTCTGTATGTCAAAAAATTAATGTGTGATAAACCCTTAGTCTAATAGGTTCTGATTATATTTCTTCTTCTGCATCTTCCCTCTGCTTCTCAGCTGTAATGAATTGCTATGGGAATTTCCTCAGAAGATACTGTCTGGCTGCTCATAGCAGAACTCCCAGCTGATTTTATAACCTGCCACTCTTTCTGCTGCCTTTCTTCGACCCTCGAACTGTCCCTCTTTGTGCTGGCCTGTGAATTTCCTTTTAAAGATGCAAACTAAGGTCTGTGCTGCCCAGATGACAGGAGGCCTTCTCCCGGCAACAAAGACTCGCAGGGCCTGCAGGGCAAGCCAGCGCATGCTGTTGCTAACTCAGCCAGCCAGCTGTGGGTAGACTGGGATGTTTCCACTGAAAGAACAAGTCAGGAGATGCTGTTGGATATTTTCATAGGAAACAATGAGTTATCAGGCAAAGAAAACCTGCTAAAGTTTGCAGAAAATCAAAACTACTACAGGAGCACCTAAGAGAAAATTTTTAAATCTCACTCCGTCTATTAGTCAACCAAAAATAATGGTATGCTATACATACATTAATAGTTAACAAAAGGTAAACTTAAAATGGTTTAGGTTTCATTTGGTTTTTTAATTCTGTGTTTTAAGTTAATGGCTAAGAGTTCAGGCTTTGGAGACAAACTACTTGAGTTCAAATCACAGCTCCCCCACTTACGAGCTGTGTGTCTTTGGGCAATTTAACCTCTTTGCACATCCTTGTCATTTATAATTTAAATCCTCAAAATGAACTCAACTCAAGAGTGCTGACAGCCAAGCCACTGAAACCATACGAACTCAAAACATGATCTAATCCAAAGTCTTACTGTACAGATGCTTTATAAAAAACAAAAAACAGGCTGAAAAGGAACTTGCTGATCAAAGGCAGAGTCAGGAATCAACTTCGCTAATTCTCGTTCTGCAACTCCAAACTACGGCTGTAATATTTCTTTCTCGCTAATCTTTTGCCTTAGCCACAGGCATGTTCCATCTAGTCTGTCCTGCACTGGAATTCCTCTGAATACCCAGGCAAATAGAGATGAGCAGCCAGCTCATGAGAATCGCCACTGCAATTTTCCATGGAGCTTCCTTGGAAACGGGCAGAGTGGAGGCTTTTTCCCTAAAATTCTAATTATATTCTTTCCACCAAGCAGAATAGGACAGCCAGGTGGGTTGGGTGGGGTGGGGTGGGTGAGGTGGGGTGGGGTGGGGTGGGGTGGGGTGGGGTGGGGTGAGATTAGTTGAACATGAGCATGAAAGGAATGATGCTACTGACCTCACCTCCAGTAGGACACATACATTAGGTAATGCTCCTGGAATAGCAATTACTGCACACACACACACTCAATGGCTATGCTTCTGTTCGGTTTCTGTGCGGTTTGTGGAGCCAAGTTGCTGGCCAAGTGAAAAGAGTTTTATTTGCAAAAGCTGGTTAACCCAATGTAAAAGGGAAGGAAGTGAAGCTTGCCTTTACCTTTACATGTGTTTTTACCTTATTTCTAGAACGTGATGTGCTTGATGTTTTCATAACCATTACCTCCTGCCTCCTCCTTTAAACATCTGAGCATAACTAGCTGATGCATCTTTAAATTGTTTGATATATTAATTCACAGTAAATTATAAATCACACCGAGCACTCTGTTACTCCAACCCGGAGTAAATACCTTTAGTATTTATAAAATATCTATTGACTCAGAAAACAAAGGGAAATTGCACTATCATTACGTCATAGGTCAGGAGGCCAAGTGTTTTGTGTACAGACACTGTCCAGTGTCCCTCAGACCACATATGTGTCCTCTGTCCACGTAGGACCTCAGAGCACACTGGGACTCAGGTTTCCCATTCTGACCACATCACCTACTGTATTTGGTCTCTAAGAAGTAAAAATAAGTAAAACAATCTAGCGAACTTCCACCATCTTGTTACCCTGAAAGCCACAAAGCCACAATCTTCTTCGAATTTTTTGTTTGTGTTAAATGGCTTATTCATATCTCTGAGGTGGAAATCCAAGGTATGGAGAACAATAAACCATACTCTGAACTTAAGCGGCCAATTATTGAAAATTATGAGGCTTAGCTTCCCCACAGAGCCAAACAATGGAGGCTCACAATGCACCTCTATGGACCAGAAAGCAATCCTTCACATGCACCATCACACGGATTTTACTTTGTTCAAGGCTGTCTTCCCAGGAACACTGCTCTGCTTAACGTGTTGCGTGCTCATCAGATTTACTGATTACTTCATCAGAGTGTTCTAATCCTACAGCTCAGACAGACACACAATGATACGCGCCCCTCCTCTTTCATACCCGTGAGAATCAGTCACAAGAAGTCACCGTTGACTGACTTACCTTTATTGTCCTGATTCTGCATGAAATGGGTGTGACTCTTTCCAGAGGCATGATGTTATTCAGATCCAGCTGGGAGGAAAAAAAAAAGTTACAGTAAATTCACAGAAAATCACCTAGTAAAAGGAGAGGTCTGCTTTCAAAGCATATAGTGATTATCATTATGATTTTTTTAAAAATCTTTAAACACAGCTGTCCTCAGGCAAGCTGGTAAGAGTCACTGGGATCGTTAAAACTAAATCACCAGGGGAAAATTTTTCCCACTGTCTAAGGGAGGAAAAGAATTTTCCAGCTTTGAAGGGGAGAAGGCAAACTATTTTTCTTCCCCCACAACCTTCTATGTATCAAAGTTCTGCTTAACAGGTTTGCTTAATGTTTGAACATATTTCTATGTAATAAAATATCGTTTTTAAGAAGGAACTAGATGAGGTAATGAAACTCAAAGTAGACCCACTGCAGAAACAAAAAGATAAAACATTTACAGTACAAACAAAACAGGTTTAAAAACAGACATTTTCCTGAAATGCTCAGATACTAGAGACATTTTGATTCTCTTCATATCTGCAAACGGCCTTAGATCTCTGATTCTCTGGGTGTGTAGATGCAACTGAGTCCATTAATTCTTATTTATCATGTGAAAAGATTTTCAGTTACTTTGGAAACAAAAGTAAAGTTAGTACATAGAAATAACTTGCCATTCATAATATCTAATTTGGGGTTCAAGGATAGCAATATTATAACTTGGGGGCAGCACGAATCTTCCAAGTGTGTCCTTCAAAGCGGTGATTCTCAATATGTTTTGTGCAGGGCACCTGTGACAGATGCATCCACAAGGTCATGACTCCCTGTGGCCAAGGTCATGCCCCCCATGGCCAAGTTCGCTCTGTTCCCCTTCCAAACTAGAATCCACCCTGTATCTCCACCCAAGGAAATGTCAAACATGTGAGTAAGTAACATCATTATTGAATTACTTTAATGTGCTCTAATCATTTTAACAAGTACCGTAAATAACTCACAAATGGATTAACAAATTACTACATGGTATGGTACTGAAATAAAAATCGCCACCAACAAGATTAATTTCGGAAGTCAATTAAAATGAGTGACTTCATATCTTTGAATCCTTGTTTTTACCTTAAAATGGAAATTATTTGTTTTTGAGATTCTGCTTCTCTCTGCAAAAGCCTAACCCCTAGCATCTTAGAATGTGACCTGATTAGGAATCAGGGTCTTTGGAGATTTAACCAACTTGAGGTCATCTTTTCTGTCTTCTGAGGGGCTTTTCTGTGTCTCCCTGAGGTCATTAGCCACATTGGGTCAGGCCTACAGTTTCTGTCTGACACTCTGCGTAAACTCTCCTGCCATCAACCCACAAACCCTGTCCTGCAGGCCCTGAATTCCAGTCCCTTCCCCAGCCTCTGCTATCTCCCTTATCTTCCCAGGAATTCCCATAAACAAACCCAAGGGTGAAACCAAAGCCAGAGACGCATTCTGAAGTGTTTTCAGAAAATGGAGTTGGGAAAACCAAGCCCACCTCCCCAGTGTCACGCTGCCCTCGTGAATGCTGTCTTTGTTCACTGCAGAGGGAAAGGGGTTTCCCGTATGGCTTATGGTTTCGCACTTTGCTCCCCTGTGAAGAGAGGAGTCTTAAAGAAGAGGAGGGACATTGCAAAGTTCTCCCTTGTTCTCTGAACTCCTCTCACTTCGTGCTGTGCAGGAGGTCCTAGTGAAACCCATCTGACAAAGTGGGAGGCAGGGGGCGTTGTCCATAGTAGAACAGGCCTCCCAACGCACCCTGACTCAGTCTGGGGACATTTACTCACATCCTTCCAGGAATATAATAGTCTCTGGATCTTTACCCTCATTTTAAACACACACACACACACACACACACACACACACACACACACACACACCCTACCCTCCAAAATAACCTTGAAAACATACTCACTTGTTCACTCATTCACACTTTCAGATAATGGCCACCTAGAACCCCCAATGGGTCAGGTCCTGCTGCAGGCCTAGCAGCTCACAGAGAAAGCCCAGCCCTTGTGAGACTGACATTCTGGTGAATGGCAACAGATAATACATAAGTAACTGCACAGTCCTTAGGCTGCGAGGTGCCAAGAACAAGGAAGCAGGGACAGAGGGTGGGGAGCTCTGGGGTGGGAGCAATCGCAGGTTTTAAAGAGGTGGCCAGAGAAGGCCTCACGGATAAGGTGGTATTTGAGGGGCAGAAAAGCTAAGAGCGAGGGAGTCACGTGTGTACACATCTAGACAGAAGGTTCTTGGGTAGAGAAGCCGAGAGTGCAAAGGCGGCGGTGGAGCAGGCCCGGGCGCTAGCAGCAGCCTGCTGCGATGTGAAGACTGATAACATGCCCCCTTCCAGCAGTACACAGGCAGCACAGAGCCTCGGGCCAAAGGATTGAAACGTGAGTCAGGGGGAGGGAGAGGCATTCTGATGGGACATCAAGGCCTTTCGGAGGTTCTGATAAGACTGCCAGCAAGGCTATGGTCTTATCACCTTTGAAAACCAGCAGGATGTGTTTTGGAAAAGAATCTCTTAAACTGTGCTCAGCACTCTGCTCAGGTCCAAGAACAAAAGCTCTGCTTTCCTTGCTGGGCCAAATCCGATTCTGCAACTGCAGCGTCTTCTTCTCCCCTGTCCCACGAACCAAGTCACTGATGTCCTTTAGGGATTTGGTTCAGGGACTTCGCCTCCCAGCAGCTGGCTGTCATACACTGACTCACAGGGGCCCCGAGGGAACGGCTCAGACACAGGGTGACTCACCGCTGGCCTCCGGCTCCCTCACTCTCTCAGGGCGTCCGCCTCTGTGGCTGTGCGCTCAGCCTGATGTTGCCCCCAAAGTGCGCTCAGAAGGTGCTGGCGTCTCTGTGTTAGACCATGGGGCTCGCCGTCTGCTGGGCTCTCGGTCCTACTCTGTACATTCCAGCTCAGGACAGCAACAAAGTTTTCCCACCCTGTTATTGCCAAAGGCCACCCTTCTCCGGGTTACAGAGGAGACCAACCCTCTCCCATTTCCCCACCTGATCCCACCTGATGGGATACAGTCTCCTCAGCCGGCCCCGGAACTCCTCCACCTTTGCCCTGTCTGTCTCTCCTGCCGCCCTCGACGCCCTGTACATCCTGGGTGACACCTCTCCCCTGTCAGCCAGGCCACTCCGCAGCCCTGACTCACACCCACCATCTGCCATTCTGCTCCTGCTCCTGCTGCAGCATGGTTGGAGAAAACACACACATAAAACCAGCACGGGCACACGTGTGGGGGCACCAGTGCTTGTACACACACGCACACACACAATCCCAGACCTACACTGTCTGAACAGAGCCACGATTAATTCTCCACAGTGGAAATTCCAGACACCTTTCCCTACAATTGGTTTCAGCAAGTTTTTATTGTCTACTATGTGCTGGATACAATGGGTTGGGCCCACTATGAATGTGCTATGACCTCTGCTTTCAAAGTACTAACAATCCTGAGAACGAGGGGTGGGTGGAGTAGCGGACGTGGATGAAATCACCACAGCCCCAAAGCAACTGCTAGAGGCAGGTGTGTGAGTCATCGTGAGCAGTCACCGAGGAGAAGGAATGGAGGGAAAGGGAAGTCATTGATACGGAGAGTATGGGAAAAGGAGGGCTGAGGATGACTCTCAGGTTCTTGGCCTGTTGGCCAAATTGACAAGGAAGAGGAGGAAGTAGGAAGGGCGGGCTGGAGCGGTACCGAGGGGCGGGGAAATCGCTTGTCAGTATGCTGAGTTTGATAGCCCCGAGAATTGGGTAGGGTCATTTGAGGCCCCTATGAAATATCCAAATGGCAGTGCCCCGTGTTCGGGGCTTGGGAGAGGAAGCTGTGATAGATCTGCACAATGGGAGTGACTACAGATTCATGCTTGGTGCCAAGGAGGAAGGAAAGGACTCAAAAGGCATAAGCATTTAACAGGCAGGCAGAGAATAAGAAATGCATTAAGAAAGAACAGACAGAAAAATAGAAAATTTTGCCACCTAAATTGATCTGCAATGGTCTTCTCCTCAATTCAAACTACTTCTAGGCTTTTCTACTTGGATATTGCTCTAATATCTCAAATTCCATTTACACACACACACACACACACACACACACACACACACAGGCTTTCGCTTCTGGCTTCCCTTTCTGTGTCAATAGGATGAAAACCATGCTTTTGTTACGGATAAATCTGAAACCCCCGACTCTTCACCAGTGGCTATGCTCTGAATTACTCTGTCCTGGCAGGCCCAACATCTCCTTCACAATTATTCTTTTAAGAATCAGCTCACTGCACACACACTCTAAAAGAGATTTCTCTAACTCATGGTTCAAAGTGTGGCAAAGGACTCCCTTCTCTATGATCACATTACACCCTGCATATATCTCTACCACTGCATTTATAATAGTTTATAGTAGTTAGTTATATTATTTCCTAATATAAGATCTATTTCATAAAGATCTACTTTTGTTTCTTCGAATAAGAAACATTTATGTTTGCATCTCCAACAAAATTAAATGCTCAATGAACAGGAACAAACTAAACCTTGAAAGGAACGAAAGAGGTGATGGCTACCGCACTGGATCTGGCAAAGTGGCAAAATCAGAACTGGGGAGAGGGAGGGGGCCTGGGCAAGGGGAGATGAAGGCACCTCCAACCACAGAAGGAACTCTGCCATTTTGGCCAAATTTTCTAGTAGCAAATCAATCCTTTATAACTTTATGGGCTCTTCCATTACTCCAACACCAATAGTTAACCTTTCTTAGAAGTGTCCTCATCTGTTGCTGATGCTAGTATTTCTGTTTTTCAGGGAGAGTTCAAATTAACATGCACACTTGCAATAATTACTGTCATAATATATCGCCATTTATTGCACCCTTATGTACTAGACCTCGCAGAATGCTTCACACAGATTTCCTGATTTAATCTTTAGAATAACCCAATGTGTTGGGCACTATGAATCCAATTGGACAGTTCTGGAAACTGAGGCACAGAAGGGTGTCCAGGTGGAGGATTCGGACCTCTAGTTAGGCTTTGTGTAAGGGATTTTGTAAACCACGTGGGAAAGTGTACCTTTCCCTTATCACCTCTAGAGCTCTCTCCTGATGGAATCTAGTTCACCAGGGGTCCCAGGACTGTCCCTTTAGACCACGTGCGATTCTTCTAAAAACTGTTTCTCCCCGAGCCAGGTAAGACGCAAACCTACCACCGGGCCTTGGCGGAGGCCGGCGCCTGAAGTCCTGCTCCAGGGCCGGGGCTCCCCAGGTGGGCGCCTCGCTCTCGTGGGCAGTGAGGACCCGGGTTCCCACCGGCGTTCCCCTTCCTTCCTGCCACCTCCTGCCTCCTGAGCTCGGGCCCCACGCACACGCACAGAGCGGCCTCGCAGGACGCAGGACGCGCGGGTCCTCCCTGGACAAGGCGGGTCTGCGGGTGGCCCAGCCCTGCGGTGGCCCTGCGTCCAGCGCTCTGGGAGGAGGGTGGGAAGGAGAGGACAGCGGGGCGGGGCCTGCCGCCCAAAGTCCCCAACCGGGGACGTCCGGGCCCCAGGTGCGCGAGCGACAGGCCGGCGTCACCGCCCGTCCCTCCTGCGGGAACTCCCACGGGGCGGGGAGCTCCGACCACCCGCTCACCGACCGGGCGGGACGAGGAGGAGCCAGTGCCGAACCGGAGGAGCGGGACCAGCGGCCCGAGGCGAGGGCGCGGAGGGGACCGGCGATGGCGCTGCGCGCGGAGGGCGCCCTGCTGCTCCTCCTGGTAAGTGCGCCAACGGCAGGGCGCGGGCACGCCTGGGTACCCGAGGGCACCGGGCAGGCCTGGGCACCCGAGGGCGCGGGCTGGGCCCCGACCCGCCCGCTGCCCGAGCCGCCCCGCCCGCCGGGTGCTCCCTGTGGGCGCCGGGAGCGGGGGAAGGCCGGGCAGGCGGCGGCGCGCTCGGGCCCTGGGGCCGCGGAACACGCGCTGCAACCCGCCCGCCGCTGGGTGCTGGGCGGGCCCCAGCCCCACGCCCTTCGGTGCTGCCATCTGGGGGTGCAGAGGGCCGGGAGCGGGCGCACCTGCCGGGGGAGCTGCGCTTTGTTCTGTCTCCGGCGGGACCGGAGGCAGAGGGAGGCGCCCGCCCCGCCGGCTCCGCTCCAGTTCCCGACCCCCAGGCGCCCTGGGCGCGGCCGGGCGGAGGCCGGGACACCGGGACAGCGGGATTCTTAGACGGCAGCGACAGCCAGGCCAAACGCACTTCAGAAACGTTTCTTACCGAGCTTTTGTTGATTACTTGTATAACCACTTTCAAAACCACCCACACAAGGTTAGTTTTAACTTATCAAACTTAAGGTCGCAAAGTTGGTGTTTTCAAACCATTTCCTAGTATGAAAAATCATACAATAGTGCTGAGATTTGGGTCATTTTAAAGGGTTACAGAAAATCCAGTGTCGAGCCATAGCCAAATGGGGTTTTCTGAGCGTAATCTTTCTGTTGTTAGTCCTCCCCCGAGGATAGTTTCCCATTGATTTTTAGAGAGGAAGGGAAGGAAACATCAATGAGGGAGAAGAGACACATGGATTGATTGCCTCCCCTTCCGCCTACCTTCCCCTTCTACCCCCTCCCCCCCTCCCCCAGGGATGAGCCTGCAACCAAGGTATGTTCCCTTGACTGGAATGGAATCCGGGATCCTCTACCCATGCTCCATCCACTGGGCCAAACCGGCCAGGGCTTAATGTTTAAAAGAAAGGGTTTCAGCCGTTGGAAAACGGTGTTCAATGCTACGTCTGCGTGTCTTATGCTTGGTTTCAATGCGCCAATTGGGTTTTAAACTGTATTCGTTTCTCTTTGTTAATGGACTTGCACATAATTTAGAAATGTGTCTGGTTTGTAGGACTTTACTAAATGGGTTTTCATGTAGTGATAATGTAGCTAGACATATAACCCAACAGGAAGTATATACAGAGAGAAGAGGGCCTCCAGTCAGCTCACAGCAGCATGGCAACTAGGACCCGGAGCTGGCTGCACCAGAGTACCTTCATGTCCTACTTATCCATCTTGTTTTGCCCAAGTCATTGAATTAATTTTCAGCTCAAGTTCATGTTGTTAATAAAGCTTTTCTAAGACATAATTTAGAGGGTTGGTTTTGACCCCCGGAAGAACAGAGCAAGTAATTCCCTCGTGGTGATACTTCTGGGCAGAGCAGAACGAATCCTTAGCAACGTAGCGCCTGGCACCCTTTGAGAGTTCCTATTCAATTCCTTTCATGTAGGAAAAGAAGCCACCTTTATCCCCCGTGGTGTGACAAGCAGGCCAGTTCAAACAGCGACAGAGAAATAAATAATTTAAGCATATTTTTTACGTTGGCAATTTAGCATTTTTTACTTTAATTTGGCAATCACTGTTCCTCTGAAAGTGATTGTAACTGACTGGAGCGGGCAGAATTCCGGCAGGCCTTCGTATTTCTACAGAACATTTTGTGATATGAATGTGAATGTCCATTTTTGGTCAAAGTGGGCAGTTCAGCCTTCCCCCCGATGTTCCTCAAGTTGGAAGGACAGGAAAATGCTCCTCGGCTCCTGGTGCGGCTCCGTCCCGATAACCTCCTCGTATGTTTAGTCTCGTAGGTCGGAAATGCACTTACTCCACCTAACCTCCTGCACGTCCCAGGTTAGCCTCGCCTGCCTTCCATGCGCTCAGCACACCCTCATTAGCGTCCAGTTGGGCAGTTATCTTGAGTTTCATCTCCAGTTCCTTCTTCTCACCAGAATGAGACAGAGCGAGGCATTTCATAGACATTATGGGATACACCACCACAGAACACGGTGTCTAAAACACTGCTGACACAGTCATGCTGCACTTACCGCCGGGGGTACGCTCCGAGAAATGTGTTGTTAGGCAATATCGTCACTGCACAAACCTCAGAGACACACGTCCACAAGCCTGCACGGAGGGCCGACTGCACTCCTGGGCTCTCTGGTAAGGGCCCAGCAATTGTCCACTGGTGTGGGGTGCCGCTAGAGGTGCACTGCTGAGCCACCAGGATGTTTAAAACATGCACTACCTGACTATTGAGTCATGGGCACTGGCCTCTTTTCCCTTAGATTGTCAAGTGAAAAAAAAAATGGCAACAGCCAACGCAACAATAGCCGTCAGGTATGAATGAATCAAATTATACTTTTTTGCGTGTCAAATCGAAAAACTATTTATTTTGAAGTGCTGCAGAATTTCAGTAATTAGCTTATGTGCCATGAGCTGAAAAGGGTGGGAAATCACCGGGATAGCCGGTTGCTCCAAGACTACTAACCTGTACAGCATGTCACTGTGCTGAGTACGGTAGCAGCTGTAATCCCACAGCATCTGTCTATGTAAACATAGGAAAGGCACATCCACATTACTTTTTGCACTGTCTTTTTAAAGGGATACAATAAAAACACAGCGCGAAAAACAATGTCTATGTGTGCTTTGGGGGTCGGAGGAGGGCCGCGAAGGAAGAGGCTTTTGGCGAGGAAATAGACATGAGGAGGGAGGAGGGACGGAAGGGAGGGCAGAGACCCAGAGACTAAGCCTGAGATGAGAAATCATAAAAGGGAGAGGGGAGGAGAGAGAGGGAGGAACAGACTGGAAGGAAAGAGGAGAAAGGGAGGTGGAGGGGAGAGAAGTGAGTGTGTGCACATCACAGGTAGACGGCAGGCTGAGCCGCCTCTTCTGCTTAAACACCCAGAGCTCACAGGGAATTCAACACAGAAGTCAGTTCCAGCCTGTCCTTTCAACATCACAAACAGACTTTTGCTTATAATCCACTGAAACCACCACCACATATGTGTGGCCCATTGTTGACCTAAACATCGTTACGGGGTGCATGACTGCAGAGTGTCAGTTGGTGACCTTTGTGATCCTGTGGCTGGCGGGGCGATGCAGCTCACGGTTGCCGCCCAGCATCACAAAGGAGTATCTATCAGGTATTGCTCGCCTGGAAAAGATCCAAATTCAGAATGTGACGTATGGTTTCTCCTGAATGCTTACCACATTTGCACCATCATTAAGTCGACATTGCAAGCCAGGGGCCATCTGGGTAGTCTTTGGTAAAGAATGGAAAGCAGCTCATCAGACAGAAGTAGTTCTTAAGGAAACAGGATTTTTTTCATAGGAGAGAATAGAAATTATAGTCTGTATGGGTCAGAGTTCAGTTGCAGATAACAGAAGTCACTCTAGTCTAGCTAGTTAAGGCAAGAAGAGGTTTATTCCAGGACAGTAAGTTGATTACATAAGTGTAGGAAAGATTGAGGAAACAGACCACAGTTTGTGTTATCAGTAAAGACTTCAAAGCCACACAGAGAGGGGCCGCCTCTCCTGTGAACAGGAAACACTGCCGTTCTGGCAGTCTGGAAGCTTCCATGATTAGGATGCTATTGCTGCAGCTCACAGAACCATGTGACAACTACTAGGATCCACACCAACTAAATGTACCTGTCCTCTGCCTCTTGGCACCCAGGAATCTAGCGGTGGGCACTAAGGCTGCTGCAAAAACCCAAACACATCCACATCCATGCTTGCCAGCTTCACTTCCTTCTCTCCCACCTCCTGTAAGTACTGAGTGGCTGAATCTAAGTAATCACATTCAGAACCTTAGCTGCAAGGGAGTCTGTGATATGTGAGCTTTGGCTTTCCTCTGCAGTTCAGAAGTCACACCAGCCTTAGCCAATTTGGTTCAATGGATAGAGCATCATCCTGTAGACTGAATGGTCCCAGGTTTAATCCTGGTCAGAGCACAGGCCCGGGTTGCAGGCTCGGTCCCCAGTAGGGGGCGCGCAGGAGGCAGCCAGTCAATGTTTCTCTCATCATCGATGTTTCTATCTCTTTCTCCCTCTCCCTTCCTCTCTGAAATCAATAAAAAATATTTTTAAAAATAAAATAAAATATTTAAAGAAAAAGAAAGACACACCAGAAAGAGATGTTGGGTGATACCCACATAGTTATCACAATGCTTTAGGCCAATTCCACCTAAATGAAAAAAATGAGAGAATTTGTGAATAAAAGCAGAGAATCTTTTCTTCTCAAGAGTTCTTTACCTAGGATCTACCTACTCCTGTCCTTGGTAAAATTCAGAGGGTCCTTAGACATGGCTGGGAATAAGTTACATACCTATTTTCATTAACTGCTAACTGAAATTGAGCCTTTCTTTAAATTATGAATGTAGGAAAGACATTGCAATAGCATTAACAGTACCTGAGAAGTCACAAAAATGTTGACATCATACTGTAGTTATCTCAAAATGCCATTTATTCTCATCACTAATAAACTTTCTACTAGACATTATTTAATGCATTGGTAATGAAATATATTACTGCATCACAAATATGGTGGGTTTTTCAAAATTCTGATAATTATTTTGATATAATTGAGTTAATCTGTTATTCGATTTAAAAACTTTATTCTGACAAAGGATCCATAGGCTTTGCCCAACTGGGCACTCAAGGAAGAGATTTTCTGATTGTTGCCTGAATTTTGCCTTTAAAATCAAACTACATTTTAAGGATTCGATGATAGCCAGTTGTACTGTGAACAGGTGTATGTACTGCTGCTAGTTTGCTAGGGCTGCTGTAACAAAGTACTAAAAAGTGGGTGGCCCCGCACAGCAGAAGTGCCTTGTGCTATAGTTCTAGATGCCAGCAGTCTGAGATCAAGGTGTTGGCAGGGCCACACTCCCTCTGGTAGATACCGCAGGTTCCTCCTTTGCCTCTTCCTCGTGTTGGGCGGTTTTCCAGGGTTCTCGGTGT